TAAGACAAAATTAGGCATAAATGACGTATACAAGAGCAGACGTGAGCGCCAGCTGCCGAGCCACTTGTAAACACAAGTTACTTGGATACGTTTGGCACTGACACAGGCCAGGTGCAGTATTGCCAGAAAAGAGTTTTTTTTTAAACGCTGAAAATATAATTTTATTTAGGCCTATTGAGCCCTTTGGTGACAATAATGACTTAATTAGCGCTCATTTAGATTTGGTCATCACTGGTGGAGCACTCTGGTAATTCTGGGGGAACAAAAGAATTTTTATAACTTTCGGTCCTACTTTAAGAGAAAGAATTTGCCCCACTCGAGCTGATCTTACGTATCTGTGATGAATTGGGTGGGATTTATCATGAAAAATTTGATGTTATCATATTACATTTCTTATTGTATGCATTGGTATTTTAAATTCAACTGTTTGTTCCACTGTTGGCTCCATTGTTTGTTCCACTGTTTGCTCCACTGTTTGTTCCACTGTTGGCTCCACTGTTTGTTCCACTGTTTGCTTCTCTGTTGGCTCCACTGTTTGTTGCACTCTTTGCTCCATTGTTTGTTCCACTGTTGGCTCCACTGTTTGTTCCACTGTTTGCTTCTCTGTTGGCTCCACTGTTTGCTCCATTGTTTGTTCCACTGTTGGCTCCACTGTTGGCTCCACTGTTGGCTCCACTGTTTGCTCCACTGTTGGCTCCACTGTTGGCTCCACTGTTGGCTCCACTGTTGGCTCCACTGTTTGCTCCACGAGTTATTTTGGATTAATCTATTTAACCCGCACTGGCTAGCGTTAAAATCAACTCCCTTTGTTTCAGGTTGACCTTGGCTCATTTTCTGGGGCCCTCATCATCTTGGGCCTCGGCCTGGTCGTAGGAAGTCTCACTGCCGCCCTGGAGACGTGCGTCTTCAAATTCGCGGAAGTGGTCAGTGACATTTAATCCTTCCAATAGTCATTTTATTCAAAGCCTCATTTATGGTAGGGCTTAGCTTAGCATTAACACTGACAACGATCCACCCCGTAACAAGACAGGTTTAACTATACTTCTATCACGTATATAGACTCAAAAATCCTAAATGTTGCCTTCTTTATCAATGCGGAGCCGTCGCTTGACTTTTTTAAAAGTCCCCTTTCCAATTTTCGTTGTTTTGTTCCCTTCATTCAAAGGTGATATGTTACATTTTCTACATTCCAACTTTGAACCCCTCATATATTCAAGGACCCCTTATATACCCAAGGACCTCTTATGTATCCAAGGACACCTCATATCTCCAAGTGCACCGTATATATCCAAGGATGCCTTATATATCCAAAGACATCTTATATATCCAAAGACCTCTTATCTATCCAAGAACCCCTTATATCTCCAAGAACCCCTGCATCCGTCAAGATAACGTGACCTACGTGACGGCTCTGGTCTCAAACCAACAAAACAAAATGTCTGTATAATATCATATATATTTTTATATATATATATATATATATATATATATGTCATCTCATGTGTTTCGTTTGCTTGAATGCTCAGGGGGACAAGGACAATGACGAGGAGAGGCAGAAGCTGGACAGCACGAGGTCAGACAAGCCTCACCCACTGACCACTGAGCTGGAGCCAATTACTGACGTATGATGACGAGGGCACTTTAGAAATCGTTCACTCATATCCTTCAAGGTCTTGGCAGTGTTGGGCTCAATTGTTCCTTTAAACTCATACAGCAGTTGAATTAAGAACTTGATTGAATTGATCCTATAAATAGATTGTTCTATTGCCCTACACACTCAAAGAAACTATAAGTATATTAATTGAGCTGAGCTTGATCCTCGTCTACATTTATTGTTTGGAATGGTATCTCCGTTTATTGTTTGGAATGGTTCACTGTATCTCCATTTATTGTTTGGAATGGTATCTCCGTTTATTGTTTGGAATGGTTCACTGTATCTCCATTTATTGTTTGGAATGGTTCACTGTATCATAATTACATTTTAAAAGACATCGTTACTTAAAAGTTTTATTTCGGCTACTTAATGGGGCTCTATGATACTGCTCAGTACAGTGATGGATTTTCATTGTTTAATATTTAGTTGATTTTGTCGTGGGGTATTGACTACACTCATGGAGTGTTAGATTTAGGCATGGGGTATAGACTACACTCATGGAGTGTTAGATTTAGGCATGGGGTATAGACTACACTCATGGAGTGTTAGATTTAGGCATGGGGTATTGACTACACTCATGGAGTGTTAGATTTAGGCATGGGGTATAGACTACACTCATGGAGTGTTAGATTTAGGCATGGGTTTGAAGCGAGCATTAAAAGATGTGTGTGTGTGTATATATTCTGATTTAAGAAATGACTGACGTGACTGTGACTTTAATGACTCCTGGTTTTCATTTCCTAGCCTCTGACTGTATTTAGGGCCGATGTCATAGAACCCTTGCTGCACATTGCACGTATGAAAGATTCGTGGCTAATGACATTGTGAATAAATATCACTCTGATAAGATGCAGATTAATCTATGTGGAACTGGTGAAGATCGTGTGAGGCCTTCTGTTTCCCAGTGTTGAAAATGTGAATTTTGCAATGAAAGATATTTTATTTAATATAATAAAAATGACGTAGGTAGATGTTCATTTTCATGATGAACTGGTTCATCAACACAATCTCTAAAAATTGATTCAATTATAAAAAAAAATGTGTGTTTTTTTTTAACCCAACTTTTTTAAAAACAATTATTAAGTTAAACCTAACATTTGTATTATGTTTTTTTTTATAAATGTAACCTGATGTTTGTGTTTAAAAACGGTTCTAATTTTTTATTTATTTTGTAAATAAAAATCAGTGGGGTGGGCACTCAACTTAGTTTATATGCCCCCCCCCCCAAAAAAAAAAAAAAAAAAAAAAAAAACAACAAAAACAAAAACAACAACCCAATAGCCTAAGTATGCACCCCTTCTACAATCTTGTAGTTAGAATGTATAATGCCTTGATCTAAGTATATTGGTGTATCTAAAGTCTACTTCGCATTATTATAACTAACTCATTAATAACTTATTTGATTTTTATTGTGAAATAATTTCTGATATTACAATTTAAGATTGAAGATCTGAATAAGATTGTTGATTGGGGTTGACCGAATGACACTTTCTTGATTGTTTGTTTTTAATATTCATTACCGAGTTTTAATCCATGTGCTGCTGTGAACGACTGAGTTCACTTTTTATAACGCTCTAACTCCCTGACGATGGCCTCTTCCGTGTGATTAATAATCATACCGATGATTTGAGTTTGAGTCGTCGCCATGAATTATAATTTAACTCTTGACATTTGGTTGATGACATAAGGAAACGTGTCCTTTGATTTAATCTTAAAGACATCTCCGTCTGCTTTCTACTATGACTAGTATGACGGGAAAAAGGTTTCCAGATTCTCCCCGGCATCTCCCACCGAACCCACAGGCTCATCTTACTGTTGTAATTACCCAGGAAAGGCAGACATATATGAGTATGGACGTTTATGTGGTGAAATACGTGACGTATGTGTAAACAGGATACGGTATTGAATTTGAACTTTATAACTTAGTTGCTATTAGAAATGTGTACAGCATTCGTCCATAATCTGAACGTGTGTACGGCATTTGTCCATGTGTACATAATTTGGACGTGTGCTATCTTAGATTGATGTAAAATGTTTTCTTAGCAAAACATGAAAGTAGAAAACCTCACCCACATCGCTGCATGTCAAATGTTCGTGGAATATTCCGGAAAAAAAGGGGGGGGGGTTGGGAAAGATAATTACGCCCTTCATATCCATGACCTCTTGTGTGCAGCAGTTAACTGTTAGTGTTAAAATAAAACTAACAATTTTTTTTGAGTCAATAATGTCAAGGAAGACAATGAGCAATAGAATGTGTGTAAAACTTAATTGAGTGNATATATATATATAAAATATATATATAAAATATATATATATATATATATATATATATATATATATATATATATATATATATATATATATTCTATAATATAAATGTTTCTCAACCAATGGAGGTTCAATTGCAGACCATGTTTGGATGGAAAAAAGGCTACCAATTAAATAAAACATACGAACTGGGTATGTTTATAACATCAATTATTACCATCATTGGCGAGGTGACAGACACCTGCATGCTGCTACAATGATAGATTTTGGAGAAGAAAAAAAGGCTGCGACTATACGCCCCCGGGTACCAGAAGTGAGAGGTTGGGATTTTAAAAAAACTATATAAAGTATTATTGTTGGGTTTATAAGACAAAATAAGGTATCGAATGAAAGATAATTGAATGGACTATATGTTGGTAAACTTACTTCTTCAGTTCAAATAACATAAACTACGACAAATGACATCCGAATAGCATTGGTCTAATGGGACCCGGGTGCGAATGGAGGCGCTGCGTTACATCTTTTTAAATAACAACTAGTTAAGTCAGGGTGCCTTGGTTTTGATTTTTTTTTTTAAATTAACATATGTTCTCATTATTTTAAAATAACTTTATTACTGTAATTGAACTGACTGTGGACGCCACCAGACCAGTAAGTAGATGCATCCCAATTTATACAAAAACTTGGACACCACTCAACAACATGATCACATCATGTAGACAGGAAAGGGGACTATCAGCCGCAGCCTCGTTACACGTATCCCCGAGTTACAGCAACAGCAATGTAGCTGGCATGAATGTCATGTTTTCTTTTACTTGCTCTTTCTCCACCCCTTACATTTTTTCATAACACTCACTGTGTCATTCATTATTTAAATACTTTTAAAAATCTTTTGTTGTTGGTTTTTTTTTTTTGGTTTCTCTATATTAATTCCCTTACCACCAAGAGCTCACTATACTCATTTTACAGTTCTCTTGGACAAAACGAAAAACAAGATACGTTTTTTGGGTTTATCTATATTAATTCCCTTACCACCAAGAGCTCACTATACTCATTTTACAGTTCTCTTGGACAAAACGAAAAACAAGGTAAGTTTTTTGGGTTTCTCTATATTAATTCCCTTACCACCAAGAGCTCACTATACTCATTTTACAGTTCTCTTGGACAAAACGAAAAACAAGATAAGTTTTTATTACTTTTTACATTTCTAAATTGAATATTCTATTTGTACCAGATCTGTTGGCTGATGAAGGCTTCTTGCTGTCATGTGCATTGCTTTGTTTTGTCTTTTATCAAGTTCACCCCTACCCTGTCTTTTATATTCCAAACAATTGTGTGGTTTTGTTCCTTTGGGAGTGGCTGTGCTATAATTTTGTTTCTGTAGAAGTGGCTGTGCTATAATTTTGTTTCTGTAGAAGTGGCTGTGCTATAATTTTGTTCCTGTAGAAGTGGCTGTGCTATAATTTTGTTTCTGTAGAAGTGGCTGTGCTATAATTTTGTTTCTGTAGAAGTGGCTGTGCTATAATTTTGTTTCTGTAGAAGTGGCTGTGCTATAATTTTGTTTCTGTAGAAGTGGCTGTGCTATAATTTTGTTTCTGTAGAAGTGGCTGTGCTATAATTTTGTTCCTGTAGAAGTGGCTGTGCTATAATTTTGTTTCTGTAGAAGTGGCTGTGCTATAATTTTGTTTCTGTAGAAGTGGCTGTGCTATAATTTTGTTGTTTCTGTAGAAGTGGCTGTGCTATAATTTTGTTCCTGTAGAAGTGGCTGTGCTATAATTTTGTTTCTGTAGAAGTGGCTGTGCTATAATTTTGTTTCTGTAGAAGTGGCTGTGCTATAATTTTGTTCCTGTAGAAGTGGCCGCGCTATATTTCTGTTTCTGTGGGGATGTCTCTGCTATTGTTTTATTTTCAGTGTGCCATCTTGTCCCACTGAAATATAAAAAAAAAAATTCATAAATTGGAAGATTTATTTTTTTTAAATTTATAAGTTTTAATAATAGTATTTAACATTCGGACTGTGCGTGTCTTTAAGTTTAAGAAAAATTGTCAACATTTTTCTTGTTAAGTAGAAAAAAAAAAAACTTGATAGACATGCAGCTTGTGAATTGATGTAACCCGTGCTAACATATTTTTTACCTAAAACTCTGGGTGAGGCGCCTCTCTTAACATGCATTAACTGTGTAGCAAAAATCATGAGAACTTTTGAACAATTTTAGGACATGCAGTTGGTGCACACATCACTGGCTGTGTGCCTGGATATTTCTAATGAAAGTCATGTTGACACTGATCAATATGTCAACTCTGACAGTTATGTTAACGCTGACAGTTGAATCAATCACCTCTACCATTTAATTCTACGCATTGACATATTCATAAACCTCTGTCATATATGTGCTTTTTGTAATCGTTCTGTGAATTGCAAAATCTAGTCCAACATCTGGGGGAACATAAGTACCAGCTGGACAAGATGGCTCAAGTTTGTTGAATAAATGGAATACCAGGACGTTTTTAAAAAAAACAAAACAACTCACATTGTGATAGCCAAAGCCAAGCCACACATTCCAGCAGCAAACTGGAAACATGTCCCGTCAAAGTAATACAGCGTTGTTGGATACCATCCGTTAAAGATAAAGGTAGATGCCAGAGTGACTAAACTTTCAGCGGCTGCTACTATAGCAAATAGACGACCTAGGTTGGAGTACGGCATTATAAACTTTAGCTCTAGAGTCAAAATTGAATTTTCATAATTACTTTCATTTATTTGCTTGAACTGATTCCAAAAGTAAAATAAGAGCAGGATATTTTTTAATTTTTTAATCTTGTGTGATGATGAAAAAAAAAAGTGGTGGGGGGGGGGGGAATTAGATACTGATTATCTCCTCTTCCCCCAACTGCAATGGACCCACCTACCCATTTCATTTTGGTACAATTTATTAAAAGTTTTTTTAATTTTTTAAATTTTTGTGGTGAGGAAAAAAAAAAGGGGGGGGGGGGGGGGGAATTAGATACTGATGATCTCCTCTTCCCCCAACTGCAATGGACCCACCTACCCATGTCAGTTTGGTACAATTTATTAAAAGGATAATATTGTTAAATGAATAAAATAAAACTATCTAAATTAATCATCCTATTTTTTTAAATGTATAAGCCGATGATTCTGGGGTCCACTACTGAGTTGGGGAATTCATTTCAGATTAGGCCATGTATTACTACAAAGAAAGTAAATGTTTCTCACCGTGCTCATCTTGATCTACCAAATCTGTCAAACTGGACCTCAATCCTGCTGAAGGGAAACCTTGGAACATTGCGAACACGACAACTGTGGAATAAATATATTTTATTATACTAATTTTCATCCTAATTTGGAATTTTCAGTCATAATTTATTTTGAATCCAAATAATTAAGCTGTTTATTAAAAATTTTATTGAAGTCACGTGATGGATTTTTAAAAAAATATCCCATATGACTTAATAATCATGTCTGGTTTCAGGATGCTACATAGGTGAATAATCCCACAGCTAAATGGGATGGCACATTTTAAACAAATACAAATGGCCACCAATTGTTCTCATATTTTTAAGGTTGTAAATTTAATCAAATCTATTCAAATTTAAGCCAACATATTTTGTATCCAATGACGACTAATTAGCGAGGGGCATGGGTTTTCATATTTAAAAGCTAGAGGTTGAGAGCTCTGTCTGAATTCTTGTGATACTTTATTAAAAACTCAGTGAATATCTAATTCACTTTTTTCATCTTAAAGTAGTTAATTGAAAAGTGGGTATATAGCATGTTTTTCTATTATCTTAAATTCTCACTGTCTTGAATGCGCCACCAAACAATTAGCGTTTTTTTCAATGGGGGGGGGGGTGCAGACGCCTGAAAGAAACACTGCAACCAGTTAGACTCAGTCAGCCTTATATCAATACACACCTAAGAAAACAAGCAACATGTTGTTAGCCAGTCCCAGCAGTATCAAACCACAAGCCTTGGAAACAATGCCTACTATGACAACAGTGGAATCCCTCAGATGGAATCTGTGTTTGAGCAGCGGCAGGATGGTCAGCAGTGCCAGGCTGCGTGTAAAGTTTTCAGTTCCTTTGAAGTAGCCGTACTCTGTGCTAGTAAAACTACGGGGGCTCCTCTTGAGGTACAGGTATAGGATGTCATTCTCACCTGGGGAAGGGATATATACATAGAATATCATTCTCACCTGGGGAATGAAAGGATATTGAATGCCAATCTCACCTGGGGAATGAAAAGGTATAGAATGTCATTCTCAGCTGAGGAATTGAAAAAATATGGAATGTTATCCTCACCTGGGGGAAGACAGGGATGAGCCAACGAAATTAATGCAAATGAGTGGTACATGTGGATACACACAATACTTTTTCAAGGAGATCCACGGTGAAAAATTAAATCAGTAGCTTAGAGCTATTTCAAAAAACCTTGTGCAGACCATGAGCCTAAAACTTTTCAGTCAAATTTCAGGATCACAGAATCACATCTATAAAAAAAACATTTTTGAAATTAAAGCTAAATTTTGTTTTTAATGAAATCGAATACTTTAATTTTAACCCAAAGTTGATGGTGCGTATTAATGATATGATGCTAGCCTTTAAGTATTCTAACTAATCATAAAATGATGCTTAGCACTGGCTATTCTATCTGACTATCCCATAATGCTGAACATTTGCCTGTTCTATCAAAAGTCACTCAGTGATGATCACTGTTTATTCTCATTGATGATCCCATAATGCTAACCTGTGGTGCACATCTGTATTATACACAGGACCAGGATCTTAAGGGCTAGGCACAGTTTTAGCCGGTCACCTCGAGGTCTCACCATACACCTGCATGTGTCCTTCAGTGGGCTGACCAGCCATTTCATGCAAAAACTTTCTGAAAAAGCAGACAGTGTTATAGACCCCTAGGAATTCATAGTCTCAGTTGCCTTCCATTTGTTTGGTTTTCATCTTATTTTATGTTGTAGGCCCCTACCAATCAACCAGCAGCAGAGAAGATAAATTATCATTTAAAAAACTGATTTTATAAAAAGAAAACAAAATTAAAGGGATTGATAACTTTAAAAAAATTAAAAGCAGTGTTTAAAAAATATTCACAATTGCTTCTGCCATTTTTATCTTTAAAAAATTGCTACATATTATAGGAAATTACTAACTCCTTTTGTCATCTGCATATTCTGGCTTTATGCTCTCTAGCCAAAAGAGGCCATATAATGCTGCTACACCTGAAATATTTTAACATTATTATTCTTGGTTAATGTTAATAGCTTTTAAAACAGATTCCTTTTAAATATTAACTAGGATCAATAAGTGAAAATTATTTGATAATTTTGAATTAAAATTGTTAATCTTAGAGTTTATTTTTAAATTTTGACATTATATTAGCTAGTTTTAGTTTTATAGTTAGGTTTTTTTGCTAGGAAATTATTTATCATGTTATTTTGGCAAACCTGGAAGAGGCAGAGATTTTGTGTTTTGTTTTGGTTCAAATGATTGAAATAAACATGTATATATATTTGAGACTGAATTGTCTTGATGATTAATGATCATACCCATAAAAGAATTGTGTTTCAAAAAAAGTGTACAGTACATTTCCTGTAAACACAGATTAATTATGAGTATGATTTTCCCTAAAAATGTTTTTAGTAAACATCTATAGACATGATCCTTAGCCAGATGACATCTTAATCACAACACTTGTACTATATTTCAAATATTGTAGGGTGGTCGTAAAAAACATGAGATCTAGTATTTAAAAAAAAAAAAAAAGATAAAGTCCTTTACTACACACACACAAAAACAAAACCCCACTAACCTAGGCTTGAGCAGACGATCACAAACACCATGACGTAGCCAACTGCTTCCAGAATGAGACCGGAGATGAAGACACTGACAGTGCCAGCAAAAAATGTCATGGACTCTACAATACCTACACGTACCTGGCCATCCAAAAATGGTTGAACATCTTAGTGTGCAATGTAATCTCAAACTTATTAAGTAACCAATGGCGAGAAATTACTAAAAGTGTAACCTTACAATTGTGTTTTCTCCTCCTTTNTATATATATATATATATATATATAACATTATAGAATCAATTTATAAAACTGAAATTCATTGTGTGACTTGGTTATCTTTGTTGCAGAATTAGATCAAAATCAAAGCATTTGAAAAAGTTGTTGCTGAATTAGATCAAAGCATTTGAAAAAGTTAACATTTGAATGTGTAATTGATTTTCTACTTGAAGTATCATTGCAATATGTAATCCTTAATTTCTCTTTGTCTTTAAAAGTGATTTATGCTTATAATAATTTATCTGACAAAGCAACAAAAATGGTCACCGTTTTGCTTCCTGGGTTAGATATGTTCGTGATATAACTGTACACCCCCATCAGAACTGTAATGTACCCGCCAAACAGGCCATCAAATATTGGGCCTATCATGAGGTAATCCAGGGACCAGTCCATGTAGTAGGCATTCAATAGGTTAGACAGGTTGTAGATGAGACTTCCAACACATGGCAGTAATATTGGTAACTTTCTGTTGATCTGATTAGAGCAAAAAATATGTTTATTCATCTTGAAAAGCAGATCGTTTCCCTAGATTTGATATTGCTAGCTTTGAGATTGATAGCTTTGATATTGACAGTGATAGATTTGATATTGAGTTTCGAAATTTAGCAGTAGAGTACTCATTCATATATTATTTAATTATCAGCCACTCATAGCTTTTCACAAAGTCTTAGTATTGAACATTTAAACGAACAATTTTAACCCCAAAACAGTTATATTTGCTCCTGTTTATCCCTTTGATGACAATGATACTTAGAATTTTATGATAATAGTTTAATGTAAGTTTTTATTTCAATGATTGAACCATCTTTCATAATTCTTTGTGAATCAAAACTTTCAGTAATGTTAATTTACTTTCCAATGGAAAGGGTGACAACTGATACCTTTTCTCACCAAAGATGACAACTGATACCTTATCTCACCAAAGATGACAACTGATACCTTTTCTCACCAAAGATGACAACTGGTACATTATCTCCCCAAATATGACAACTGATAACCCTTCTCCCAAAATTAAATATGACAACTGATACCCCTTCTCCCAAATATGACAACTGATACCTCATCTCCCCAAATATGACAACTGATACCTTATCTCCCCATGACCCAATGAATAAGAAGACAGTCATAATTGCCGGTAAGGTTATGCCAATGTTGCTAAGCATCATCCAATTAGAAGCGTCACGTTGTATGGCATCCTGTTGTGCTGTGTGCAGTTTCTGAAATGTTTTGTTGTCCATGTCATCACAGAAGGATGAGTTGAAAATCTGCAGGCAGGTTTTCTTGTACACCAAACTCTGTTTGGGGATAGAGTTGAATAGATTGACCACCTTCTTGCTAGGAACAGACTGTCTGACTACATTATAGTATTTTTTGGAGTAGACTGCCTATCTAAAATACAGAAATAGCATATCTTCCTTTATAATATTACTATCTATAGTTTATAGAAAAAGAGTATACACAATAACAGACAAACCAACCGGTATCTACATTATATGAATCAGCTATCCACATTTAAGGAGTAGATTTACTATCTGCAACAATAGTTGGTCTATTTTTATCTGGATCCTTTCAAAATCCTCATTCTGTTAAAAAAATTTTAATCCCTGCTCATAATATTTTGGTTTACTTTTATTTCTTTGATTTGACGAATGTATAGCCCAAACATGATTAAAATATAAACTTTTCAGGATTTCCGGTGTTATATTTGCCAAATGGCAAGGTCCCAAACTGAAGTGGGTGTTTTAAACTGTCTTGTGTGCCTAGTGAGCTTATGACTTATTGATTACTTTCGGTTGCAGTGGTCGGCAACCATCCACGCCAAGTCTGGGGCATTTTTAATTGGGACAAAGACGATAAAAAAAAAATCTAATAGAAGACTAATATAAGGTTCTTATGGGGTATAAGTATAGGTTGTTGTCATGATGATTGAATGCCTCCTATAAAGATGAACTTCTAGGTTGTTGGCATGATGATTGAATGCCTCCTATAAAGATGAACTTCTAGGTGGTTGGCATGATGATTGAATGCCTCCTATAAAGATGAACTTCTAAGTTGCTGGCATCCTGACTTAACTCGAAATCCTAATTGGGCACATCTTTAACAAAAGGTTTTCGAGCCCTGATCTACAGCATTGATTTTTCACGATTCCCTTAAATTTGGTAATCATCATGTTACCTGAAATGTGGGAAACTGCAGGTTGGAGGAGAACATGTACAGGAACAGAACTGGCTCAACAGTGACCAATCTTGGACGGCACCTGCATCTAGCATCAGGGCACCCACAGCCCATGGTGATGAGGAGATGACGTCTTCAGAAGACGTCTTCGGGTCTTATGAAGGTCTTCTGCCTAGTTAAGTAGTGACGTACGGGGTGATTTATTTAATGATCATAAATAATCTTCCACATCATATTTAATCATTTTTCATGACCAGGCTACAAATAGCATTTATTTTTTAAAAAATATAAAAAAATGGTGCATCACGTTAACACAAATGACTTGACTAATGTCCTAATATTTGAAATGTATGATCGAATAAGCTTTCTAACTAATAATAGTGATCTTGATGCTATGATAACTCACAAGAAATTCTCTTCTGTGAAACGATTTATTTGTTGAGTCTTCATCCAATGGGATAAACTTAAAACCGACAAATTCTATGTCACAGCTGGCTGAACTCAAGGCATTAGAATCTCAACTCCCCGCGGTCTATTGCATATATAACAATGCAGGGGAAAAAACACGGAGATAGCAGAATTAAGAAAGGAAGCCGATTTTCTTCAAGTTCTCGTGACAATGGTGTCAATGGTGCCAACCGTGTCAATAGCGCCAATGGTGTCAATGGTGTCAAGTTCTGTCTGAGATAATCACATATCAATTTAAGTACAAGAGAGCACTGCATTATTTCTGTACTTAATGAGTCGATGACTCCTTTGAAACAAGGGCAGTAGACTTAAGAGTGTTGTGTTCATCACTGAAGTGGGCTCCACGTGTTTATAACAGATGATAAGTAGACTGGGGAATGTCTTACGTTCGTCATCAACATTGCCATCATATTGTGTCTCAGCACACGAAATTATGTTATCTCGGAGCAGGGAACCCTAACCTGGTTGTTGATGTCAATGTGACCTGTACTGTTTACATCAATGACATAATGGCATCAATCCCACAGAGGCAGACAAACAGTAGCATTCATTAGAATAATTTATACGTAAGTATTTCCTAAGGATGTCACACGTGTATTAACCTTAATGTTGACTTACCTATTCTATACAAAATTTGAAATACGCAACCAAACTATACTTCGGAGACAATCCAATCCAATAAATAGAGTAACATTATTACCAATAACTCAAGCTTTCCATCGTGTACAAAATTTAACATTAAAAAAAAAACTAAACTAATGGCAGGATGATAACAGTGTTGTGAGATAAAACCCAGATGTAGTGGACTTATTCCCCGTTGTCCCTGGGCTTAGACATGTCACTAGATCATTGACGTGGCCAGCTGTCGGTGCACTTGACAAGATAAGGAATCATTAAAAACAACAGCAAGTGATGCGGCCATAGTCATCTGTAAAAACAATTTTTCGGGGACAGTTATTTTATATTTATTCTTCTTCTATATTTTGTGGGCCCACGATCAATGGATTCATCATTTTTGCTCCTACTTTTTAGTACGCTTTTCGAAAAGCGTGTTGTTGTTTTTTAAGCTGATTTTTTTTTTTTTTTTTTAAATTGTTTTTTTTAGTAATTTTTAGTCTCGGAGTATGTAAAAAACAAATTAAAATACAGAAACATGTTTTAATAAGCTCATAATACCATAGCTGAGTATTCCTTTAAACGAGTAAAGTCTACTCTACAAATTTGTTGTTTTTTAAGTTTATTTTTTTTTTTTTTTTTTTAAATTGTTTTATTTAGTAATTTTTAGTCTCGGAAGATGTAAAAAACAAATTAATATACCGAAACATGATTTAAGAAGCTCCTAATACCATAGCTGAGTATTCCTTGCAACGAGTGAAGTATCCTCTACAAAGCCATGCACAGTTACATCGCGAACCACACTACAAACGTAGGTGTCCGAATGATCAATACATTTGTCGTGGGTCTTCAAAATATAAAAGAAGAAGAGAAGAGGAGAAGAAGAAGTAGCGTCTAAATTTTACCATGCATAAGTAAACGCTGTAGCCTGTAGTGAAAACCCGATGGCGCGCTGTCACTTTCTTTTCCTGAGACACCCGCAGAGGTTGACCTACTGAAGGGTCGTATTGTCATGTGGGGTGGGGGGGGGGAGGGGTGTAAGTATAAATAGTCTCATCTCAACTAGAGATCAGGACGTTGGTCAAACTTGAGGTGCCAGATTTGACACGCAGAGGTTATTCGAGGGCCAAGTGGGTCAATGCGTTGATCATTCTGGCTCCTGTTTAGTGACATGCACTTCGTTGGCTCTTTTTTTTTTTTTTTTCTAGGGGTTCTCCGCCACACATGGCTTCTCAATTATTAAAACTAAACCACTGACGCACTGTCCGATTACCTTCTTTATTCACGAAGTGCAAAAACTGATATCATAGTACACAAACTGATATCATAGTGCACAAACTGATATCATAGTGCACAAACTGATATCATGGTACACACAATGATATCATAGTACACAAACTGATATCATAGTACACAAACTGATATCATAGTACACAAACTGATATCATGGTACACAAACTGATATCATGGTACACAAACTGATATCATGGTACACAAACTGATATCATAGTACACAAACTGATATCATGGTACACAAACTGATATCATGGTACACAAACTGATATCATAGTACACAAACTGATATCATAGTACACAAACTGATATCATAGTACACAAACTGATATCATGGTACACAAACTGATATCATAGTACACAAATCCAAGGAACAGATACAACTAAGACTTGATTTGTTAAATTCTCTGACGATTAACACTCCAGTCACTCTCAGAAATAAAGCCCCTACCAGTCTGCGAACTCTCAACACATACTGCTCGACAGAACTTAACCCACCAACAGCACCGTAACGATAACTCGACCTATCAACTGCCACCCAGTGTTCAAAAAGCATTTCAACAACTCACTCGTTATAACCTCGCAAAGCCCGACTAATCACAACTGGCCCTCACAGAACGATTTACCTATTCACGATCAACTATTTCATACACGCACTATTTCATACACGCACCATTTCAGACATGCATTTCCACGCTCACAAATCCAATTCATAACACACACATCCCACACCCTCCTTTTTTTTCCCCCTTGACATCACTATTGTAAGTGATGTCACACACACACACACACACAATGTACACATCTGCACTACAAAAACTGTTATTATATAAATTATAATGCAACAAACGGCATAATGTTCCACGGTGAATTAATATATTTCAAACATAACAAATAGGAAGTATAAAAAAGTAGGCTAATTTAAGGTCTTTCTCTTGTGGACATCTTGCTGGCGGTCACTTGGGGGGGGGGGCGGTCACTTGGAGGGGCGGCAGTGGCGTAGCGAGGGTGTTTGGCGCCGGGGACAAGATTCGCGCCCGGGGACAAGATCCATTTTAAAGCGCCCCCTTTTCTTTTTTTCAACTCTCAAACCCATTATTTTTACCAATAATATAATATCTAATCACATTTTGGCGCCCCTAACATCTGTCCCCCCTGCCCCCCATCGCTACGCCTCTGGGGGGCGGATACTTGATCTCACGTCAACTCAAATTCGATTGGGTACGGGTCATCTCATGCACTCGGCAACCAGATGGATCGTCTCACACATGGCGCCAAGGCTCGAGTTACCTCACGCACGGCAACTGGAATCCACGTCGCCAAACATTCATTCACTGGATACAAAGAGTAGGATCAAACTCATAGGCACACGCTCACTGCACATTATGGGGTCGGCGCATACCCTGTTTGCAATAGCTGGTTAATGGGATCTGGATAAAAATGTGTCGTTCTAAAAAAAAAGAAACAAAACACAAAACTGTCACCGGATACAGGAGTCTGTTGGCATGATCACTTAGCATGGGCAGGCACTGACGCACGCTGATAGTCGCTAGACAGTCGGGATCCTGGTGGCGGTCAACCACTGGGCACAAAGTCACAGCACATACGGTCGTCCCACACCCTGTTTGCAATAGTTGGATCATGGGAAAGACGGTCGCCTCTCTATCACAGCCAAAGATTTGAGTACAACAGTCATTAAAATATGCAGACGGCAATAGCTGGAGAACGGGTTCTCCGATGTACAGAAAATGGTCGCCGCTCTAAGCAGGCGAAGATGCGCAGAACTCAGTTTGCACGTGGGCATGTACTACAGCAGCCTAACGTCGACGTCATTACTGCTTTTCTTTCCTGGTAGTACTGGAAGTCAATTCGCCGGAAAACACTGATTGAATTTTCACTGCGTGGTTCTTACAGGAAACACCTGACGGGATCCATACATTTTAAGAACTCACCTTGTGTTATGACAGGCAGTTCGTTAGCTCACCTTGTCCAGGTTTTTTTTTTTTGTTTTTTTTTTTTTTGCCAAACGTTTTTCAACTTTTTCGGAAACTAACGCACTGTCCAATTTCTTTTTTTTTTTTTCAAGAAGTACACAAAATTTTATCATAGTAAACAAAATGCTATCATAGTACACAAAATGCTATCATAGTACACAAAATGATATCATAGTACACAAAATGATATCATAGTACACAAAATGCTATCATAGTACACAAAATGCTATCATAGTACACAAAATGATATCATAGTACACAAAATGATATCATAGTACACAAAATGCTATCATAGTACACAAAATGCTATCATAGTACACAAAATGATATCATAGTACACAAAATGATATCATAGTACACAAAATGCTATCATAGTACACAAAATGCTATCATAGTACACTAAAATGATATCATAGTACACAAAATGATATCATAGTATACAAAATGCTATCATAGTACACAAAATGCTATCATTAGTACACAAAATGATATCATAGTACACAAAATGATATAGTACACAAAATGATATCATAGTTCACAAAATGCTATCATAGTACACAAAATGCTATCATAGTACACAAAATGATATCATAGTACACAAAATGATATCATAGTACACAAAATGCTATCGTAGTACTCAAAATGCTATCATAGTACACAAAATGCTATCATAGTACACTAAAATGATATCATAGTACACAAAATGATATCATAGTATACAAAATGCTATCATAGTACACAAAATGCTATCATTAGTACACAAAATGATATCATAGTACACAAAATGATATAGTACACAAAATGATATCATAGTTCACAAAATGCTATCATAGTACACAAAATGCTATCATAGTACACAAAATGATATCATAGTACACAAAATGATATCATAGTACACAAAATGCTATCGTAGTACTCAAAATGCTATCATAGTACACTAAAATGATATCATAGTACACAAAATGATATCATAGTACACAAAATGATATCATAGTACACAAAATGATATCATAGTACACAAAAAGATATCATAGTACACAAAAAGATATCATAGTACACAAAATGATATCATAGTACACAAAATGATATCATAGTACACTAAAATGATATCATAAAACACTAAAATGATATCATAGTACACAAAATGATATCATAGTACACAAAATGATATCATAGTACAAAAAATTATATCATGGTACACAAAATGATATCATAGTACACTAAAATGATATCATAGTACACATAATGATATCATAGTACACACAATTTTATCATAGTAAACAAAATGCTATCATAGTACACAAAATGATATCATAGTACACAAAAAGATATCATAGTACACAAAAAGATATCATAGTACACAAATCCAAGGAGCAGATAACAACAGCTTGATCGTTATACTCTCCTGACGACTAACACTCCAGTCATATTCTCAGAAATAAAAGCCCCTATCAGTCAGCGAACTCTCAACGCCACTGCCCAACAGAACTCAACACAACAACGGCACTCCAACGGTAACTCAACATACCAACTGCCACGCCCCGTGTTCACACATCATTTAAACCGTATCCGGAAATTTGATCGAAAGAAATTTCGTCGACGGTAAATTGATTGACGGTAATTTGATCGAACGGAAATATGGTCGAATCTTTTTTTTACGTTTTTACGTTTAAATTTTGCTTCAAATGTCTTTTTGAACGCATTATTTTGTTTTACTATATAGTATAGTGCGTTCAAAAAGAAATTTGACGAAAATCTTAACGTGTGAACTGAAAAAAAGATTCGACCAAATTTCCGGTCGATTAAATTACCGTCGATTAATTTACCGTCGACGAAATTTCTTTCGATCAAATTTCCGGTAACCATTTGAACAACTCGCTTGTTTATTGACCTTGCATAAACAGACCAATACCCACCCACCCCTACTTTGGGAAAGGGTTGTTTACGTTTGAATGCGCTCTGCTTGGTCTATCAGGTGACAATTTCAATACTAGATGGTTCTGATTTAATCCCTAGGCCGGAGTTTTCCTGGCCGGGATAGATTTTTGCTGTTTCCTAACATATATGAAATGTTATATTAATCCAAGATTGTACTCTTTATGTGTATGTATTAATATTTGTATCTTTCGAGGATTGTACCTTTTCACTCGCTTGGCTTTAAGTTGATATAGTTTTTTGTTGTTTTTTTTTGTTTCTGCATATCTGAAATTTGAAAGTATAATTAAACTGTATATCGTTAGTAGCACTCGCTTTGTTATAGTTTTGTCTTGTCTGTCAAATAAGGTATATAACATATAGCCATAACGTCATTTTAACTGTTCTGTCTTTTTAGTTCAGTTTCAAATCTTGTTACAATTACAACTAGGCACTATTTAGTTGCATAAATTAATCTCACTAGGACAAGCAGAACCTTTAGAAATTTGGGCGCTGACCCCCAAGAAATACTCATCTTAAAAAGTAAAAGCAAGTAAATAGTTAAGGAACGATAATGCATATTTATTATAGTTACAGATAATCGTTGTTTTTGAGGAGCTTAAGGAAATCAAGCATCTTTCCTGCCATTCAAAGAAAACATTGGTCGCCATGGACACCAACCCCACAACATTGTCAGCATCAGTTTATGTCCCAAAATACCTAATCTAGAAATGTTTAAATATGCCTGATAAATTAAACTAAATTAAAGTACTTTTATACAATGCTGTCAAACATCAATGTCCACACCATATGTTATGAGCACGCCCACTCCTCTGTTGATTATCAGTGGAGCCGACCATTACTATCAATTGGGGCAAACGTTAATCATCAGTTGGGGCCAACCATTGATTTTCCTTTTGGCCCGCCACTGATTATAACGTTGGGAACAACAACTGAACTTTTGGGGAGCTCTGAACTTTCATAGACGTTCAGTACAAAATGTACAGTTTTCTTATACTGGATATAACATGACCTTAGTAATTAATTACCGGTAATATGAAAGTAACTTGATGAAGCAGAGTGGGATTGAATTTTAATTTTTTTAAATTAATTTTTTTTAAACTGTTTATCATCTGATGGTTTTTTAATGGCATGGTGGGTCATTCTAAAGTTAAGCTGCCAAGTAAGAAAAGTTAGATTAACCATTGTAGCTCAAGCAATGCAAGTAGGGGTACATTGACACATTTTTAAATGTCCACTTTTTCCATTTTCTCACACAACTCCAACAATGTAAATTTGAAAAATAGAAAAAAAAAAAAAAAAAAAAAAAATAAAAAAAAAAAAAATTAAAAAAAAAAAAAATAAAAAAAAAAAAAAAAAAAAAAAAAAAAAAAAAAAAATACAAAGGGAAATAATCTGAAGTTGGCAGAAGGTGTTGATCTTATGTCAATGAACAGGTCAGAAATGGAATCCTTCAAGAGATCTCATAAAATAGCAAAAATCAATGATACAGTAGGGTATAATGTCATTTTTAAACAAATGAATTATTACATATACACATGGTGTTATTATGTAAATATTTAAAAGACTTTATGCTTGCAGAAAATTTACATCAGCTGAAGTACATAAATAGGTTTAGCATATTTAGCAGTAAACTTTGTCTTTATGCATTCCTAAAAAATATCAGGATCTAAAACAGTCCTTGAAGTAAAACAAAATTCAAGTAATTCTCACTATTCTTAAGTTCAACTTTAAAGTCAACTTTCAGCACATCAAATAGATTTATTTCTTAAGCCATGAGTAAGCACAAGTTTGCGTTCAAGGCAGTGTAAATCTTGAGTCTTGTGCATACAAAAATTAAATACATTTCCTGGAAATCTCACATTGTTGTTTATATACGGTAAAAAAGTAAAAATGCATCATCTGGTGAGTATTATATACATAATAATGTCTTTAAAAAGAATAATCTAACTGAAAAAGACTCAACAGACTTTTCAAGTCTACATGGTAATATTTACAAATTTTCTTGCTGAATTTATTGAGCAAGCAAGTGATTTATTATATCATTTTTCGTAATAAAAAAAGTGCATTGAATATGAGATTTTTTATAAAACATCAAAGCATTTGAAATATTTCTCTAAATGTTAAAATGGTCATTAAAAAATGAGTTTTCCACATAAAATATCTTACAGAAGTTAAAAATCTAGCAATAAAATATTTCAGTTACAATCATAAAGCACATTTTTTTTTTCTTAATGATTTTAATTTTTGTCAATCACAAGACAAAAGGTTACATTAAAAAACTAAGATAAAAATAATTTCTTCCCCATAAAATATTTTGTAACAAAGAATGAGGAAAGCTTGTCTGAACAAGTTATTTTGGGTTTATTTAAACCACATAGGACAACAGCAGTTTTCAAAAAAAAAAACATCATTTATGTAAAAGGAACTCGGAACTTCGGAACTGTATTTTCAGTTGCACATCAGTCTCAGCTACTGATGACATTTGGGTCATCCTCATTACACCTGGTGACTGCACTGTCATCCACGATGCTCTCATACATTACAGAGGAGGCATTCTCTCTCAGCAGCACAAAGTGAACATATCTGTGAAGAAAATTAACTAATCACAAGAGGGTTGCACTGTGATAAAGCTTTTAATTTGATTACTGAGACAAAGACGATTTGCGTAAACAGATGAACAACATAGCCTCATAGTTTTTAAAAAAAAGTACTTATCTAAATTTCCATTTCACACTGCTAATTTGAGATTATTTATACTACATATTTTCTGTTAAGCAGATTAGGAACACTGGTAATTTAATCAATACCACTTTACGACTTTAATGTGAAAAGAAATCACACCATTTTCAGCTGTGTTAGGAATGGAAGGATGGAAGAACTTTTTAGGTTTATATTTTTATATGGCACACAGCGGCATACCTGCAAACCTCCAAGATTGAAACCAATGTCTTTGTTAATTTTTAAGTCTGTTTTTACTATCAGTTTTTTTTTTATTAGTTTGTCTCACATACTGTATTTATTGCTGAAAGGCAAGGTCTATTCATTAATCAGCTTAAGTTATATTTCCGTCGATTTAATCTGACTTCTTTTTTTTTTTAAAGTTAACATCAGCAATTTTCATTTGAAAGCTCTCACCATTACCTTGTTCATAATTTACAGACAAAACACAGTCTGACCAAATACTGAATCAAATGAATCATCCCATTCATACGAGGTAAATACATAAATATTAACTTTTCATTTATTTCCTCATTTTTTATTGGCTGTTGATGTTTCCATTACACTTCAAACCACCTACAAGGTTGTTAGAACACATCATGTTGAATACTTTTTTTTTATCATCACTGCTGTATTTTGATAGCATTTAAATAAAAATAATTTAAGATGTCTTTAGGTGGCAGAAAACATGTGACTGAAATTCTTCTATGCTGTACAATAAATCATTAAAAAATGTTTGCCAATGGGTCTGTCTTCTAAAAATGTAAATATAATTCTATAATTTCCTTGCATTTTAAGTGTAACTATTGGTGCTAATACAGATATATGCTTACATGACTAAAAAGAGAACAGTGATTACAAGCCCAGCTCCCAACATATAGCAGAGACCAGGGTAGATGTCATATGTAGCAGGATACAACTCATTGAACAACACAGATGCCAAAAGGGAGATGACACTTTCTGATGCAGCAATAACGCCAAACAGACGACCTTATCAGAAAGATTACAGATATTAGGAATAATCCAAATTTGTATCAGACTATAGAATACAATTACTGACTCATGTCATCAAACATGCTCATCATATATTAATTTAAATAGATTAACACACCTAATCAGTTGGCTTTGAAACTGTATCAGTTACCTTGTTCATCTACAGCTACAAGTGAGGACATGGTTGCCCTGAGTCCAGCAGATGGAAGGCCCTTAAACATACCGATGACAGCCCCTTGTCAAATAATAACAGCAAGACAAGAGTTTGAACATAACAATGGCAGGACAATTATTAAATTTAAGAAATAGTCCTGTTCAAACTTTGATTTTGATTCATTTTACATTAAATTTATATAACTCTAAAACCAAAAAATTTAATACAACAGTCAGTTTACAACAAATGATAAATTTATGAGCTTAAAACAGATTAACTTTACAAACATAATACAAAAAAAGGTTTAAAACAACAATATAATTTATCTATTTTTTTTTTTGGGGGGGGGGGGATATGAGGAACAGTACCCAAAATAACAAATGATAAATTTATGAGCTTAAAACAGATTAACTTTACAAACATAATACAAAAAAAGGTTTAAAACAACAATATAATTTATCTATTTTTTTTTTTGGGGGGGGGGGATATGAGGAACAGTACCCAAAAATATCACCCATTTAGCCCGACCAGCTCCAATAGTGATGAAACCTGCAGCATATGACAGAAGCCCAAGCATGACCAGTTGCAAATTTTTCACTTTGGTGTACTTCCTGACCAATGGCAAGAAAGTCAGCAGTATCAGGCCCCTAAGGAAGTTGTCCAAACCTTTCAAATAGCCAAACAAGGTCTGAGAGAAGTTGAGTACTTCCTTGAGATACAACATGGCAATATCCATATCTCCTGAAACAAGAATGTATTTCCATTTGAACAGGGATTCATCTTAAGTATTTGCATGATAGGTAGGTAGGTGTGTCCTCCACTTAAACAACTAAGTCACACCACTTCTCCAAACTGCTTATCCTTACAACCGATACATTTGGACTATAAAGTTCATCAAAATTACAAAGTTTATGGTCATAATAATTTTAATTGTGTAAAAAAAATGTGGTTGAAAAACAATTACACTAATGAGATTATGCTATTAGTAAAGCAGAATGCTACCTGCAAACAATTTGATTAATTCAATATATTACCTGATGTACATAGCATGAGTATGTCAAGTGTCAGAATTTGAAGGACAATGGCAGAAAATGCATGCCCATCTCTCTGTTTCATAACACAATGAAAAGATTCCTTTAAAAATTTGAACATCATACTAGGACAAGATTCTCTTTCATGTATATTGCCTGGCGAATGAACATTTTCCAACCAAACGAAGGCATACACCATTGTGATACCCATGGTGATGCATAGAGTTGAAAATGTGAAAATGTAACCTTCATTATCCAGCATGACACCAGAAACAAACACTCCTATAGTTCCAGCAAGGAACACCATGGATTCAACAATGCCTACTCTGGTTATTTTTGAGGCTGGTGTTGATATGTGACCAATATAACTGTAGACTGCCATGAGGCAGGCAATGTAACCTCCACATAGCCCATTTAAAATAGGTCCAAATAGAATATAATTCAACGAGGCTGACATGTACTTTGCATTGAGTAATCCAGACAGATAGGCTAAAAATGCTCCAATGCATGGCAATATTACTGGGATTTTTCGACCAACTTTATCCCCTAATGCTCCAAGGAAGAAAATCACCACAAAAAAAGAAGACACTGTCAGAGCAATAGTTGTTTTTAGAATCCAAAAAGAGGTCTCGGCTGTTACTTCGTGATTTTCTGTTTTGTGCTCATCCTTAAAAGTATGGTTGTATTGTAAGGAGTGACAAAAATGTGTGTCATAGCTTTGAAGGCAAACTTTGTTGAAAATGAGAGCTTGCAAGGTCGGATAGTAAAGAAAATTTGTGAACATGTAAAGAAAAAGTACTGGCTCAACAGTTATCACTGCCAGATCAAAACGATATCTCCCGCATCCGATAAATATGTGTCTTGCCATTGTGTCTCTCTTAACACCTGCAAAATAATGGAAGGAACATGTCAGTAAAGTATAAGGTAATAAAGGGTCATTCATAAATGATGTCACACTATTTAATTTAGCCTGATTTTAGACCTCCCCCTTCTTCACAATAGATGTGTGACTGTGACTTTATTTTCATTTAAGTAGTAATGGATGGCTCCATATACTTATACTATTTATAGGTCTAAAGAAAAAATAGTATAAAAGTCTAGTATGATACTTATACTAATACTAGTATTAATAATTAGTATCAGAGTATCAGTATAGTATAGTTAGAGTATCACCCCCAACCCTCTTCCCAACAGCAAATTAAAGAGAAACAGGTCCAGCTTATTTATCTACTACCACTACGACTAAGACTAAGACTAAACTAAGTCTACCACATAAATTATAATATTATATGTAGTTAAAAAAAGACTATGCCGCATGCCCACTAAGTAGCATCAATGACTTGACTCTAATTTAACTGTTTAATACTAGACTGTAATTTTAACTAGACATACTATACTTAACTATACAATAATTATTTTCTCAATTCTCAAGCTAGTTCAAGGACTACTACTACTAATAATACAACTACTACTACTACTACTACTAATACTACTACTACTACGACTAATCTCTCGATTCTTGAAAGTTTGTGTTAACTGAAGTCAAGTAGAAGTAGATTTGCTGATTTCAATATCAGTACCAGTGACTCACAGTCACAGTGCCTGCGGTATAAGTTTAAAACTTAATTAAATGTTAAATTATAGTCAGCATCAGTGGATCATACATCATACAGTCATACAGTGTATACAAGTCAATAATTAATTCATGATGAGTAAGACAGGTAGGAGTATAGTATGTGAAAAGTAAATGTTCAATTTTTTACAAAAAGATTACTTTACTGACTTTGGTTAACGTCAGTCAGTCATGTAGGGTAGGTGTAGGCCAATTAAAAAAAAATAACTAAATGAATTGATTGGCCTAACTCGAGCCTTCTTTTTTTTCTTGTAAGCTAAGAAATGTAAACAAGCAATATTACCTTACTTTTTTCCCTTCTTTTTTTCCCTTATTCACCCCCACCCCTCTTTCTATTCGTAAACAAAACATGTTCATTATCAATTTCTGCCATTCAATAAATCTGATTTGACTTCCACTTACAACATCATGTTTTGACCAAGTTACAATTTTTCTATTATGATATTGATATAGTTATAGGATTCTTCTCTCGATTATTAAGGAATACAAGTTGGTAAGTAGCTAGCTATTTTAATATTTAATGTTGTTGACGTTACTTTAGTATTTCAGTTCATAATCTTAATTAACATACAAACTTTGAGTTTGAGTGAGTGTTACTGTTTCACCGTAAAGGAAAGTAGGACAATTAATTACAACTCAACTGGAAAAATGAGATATTGGTAAATAAATAAATTAATTTAAAATTTATTCAAAATATATAAAACATTTGAAAGAGCCACGAAAGCACTACCTGTTTATTTCAATTCTTTCAAATAGACATTTTCTTTTATAATCAGCAGGTTTCCTGGCTTATAGACTCTGCACATTTGATTTGCCTTATTTTACTTCGACTTCCTTTTATTTGATGTTTTATGAATCAAGTAATAAGTTGTAAACATGGCGGACAAGGGAGTCCGCAGTATTGGGTCTGGTGACCAACCAGTCCCTATGAAGTTATTTGCTACATGGGAGGTAGAAAAAACCTCACCAAATTGCATACCTAGGTGAGTTTTAAGAATGAACTTTTACCTAGACATAACTCACTTCTAAAAGCTAAGCCCACTGTACGGCTACGGTATTTTATTTTACGATGTTAGCGGCCAGTTTCATTAAAAGGGGAGGGGGGGGGGGGGAAATCGCCACCCCAGTGACTGAAAATAAACCAAAAAAATGAAGAAAAACCAACATGCGAGGTTAATGTTTACCTTAAAATTTCATTTTTATTATTTAAAAACTTAAAAAATGGGGGGGGGGGGGGGGGGGAAATCGCCAGCTCAGTGACTGTAAATAAACCAAACAAATGAAGTAAAACCAACATGCGCAGTTAATGTTTACCTTAAAATTTCATTTTTATTGATTAAACACTTGAAAAAACACTTCATTTCTTAATGATAGTTGTTTTATTGATTGAGTTTACAGTATAAGTATAATTAGTATTAGGCCTATATTAAGTAATTAAGTATAAGTATAAGTTTAGTATAGTATAAGTATATTATAGTGTATAGTCTTATAAACTTATATTATTATTAGATTAGTCAGCTGTGTATACAGTATTATTATACTGTCTCTATAGATATATTATTCATCTAAGTATATGATTATATGAATTAATAGCCTACTCTGTCAACAATAGGAATAGGCTTCAATTTATTAGGATAAGCCTAGACATATTCATATAATCCTTATTTAAAGTCAGAGTATCAGTAATAACTAGTAATTTAAGTAACAAGTAATAATTTTAGTTACCACGTTTTTCCCAGTTTCTTTTTTTTTTTTTTTAAATTTTTGTCAAAATAACTAATAAGTTAGCCTATTTAAATGTATTATTTTATTGTAGAATATGCCCTGAGTTAGGCCCATAATCACTATGCCTATTGGCAATAAGAGTTTTTTCCCAGTTTCTTTTTTTTTTTTTTTTAAATTTTTGTCAAAATAACTAATAAGTTAGCCTATTTAAATGTATTATTTTATTGTAGAATATGCCCTGAGTTAGGCCCATAATCACTATGACTATTGGCAATAAGAGGCGTAACAGGCTGCTTCTTTTTAAAACTCTAGACTTTGTACATTAATTATGATGTCTTCTGGTTATCTAGTAATTGTAGTGAAATGAAAGTTAATGACATAATAACATAGAATAATTGGAGGCACAGAGTTATCGATCAATGACAGTGAGTTAGTCTTATTAGTTTTAAAGTTAATCTATTAGTATTAACAAGACTAAGACTATGCTATATTAATTTATGATGATCTCGAGTCAAAATAAAAAGCAGTAGGCCTATCAATGATCAAAATTATTCGTGTCTAAGTTTAAATTTAAGGCTATTTAATTTTGGATGATTTTGAATTTGTGGTAACGCCGGCGATGTTCCACGGTGTATAGGCCACAGAGGTTCCCCAAGTTCAACTTCCTTCTACATCGACATATTCAAAAGATTTTGATTTTTACACTTATTTTCACTTAATGATTAATGGAAGTTTTTTTTCTTATTATTTTCAATTTTTTAAGGAAAAAAATGGTGGGGGGTGGGGATGTCACTTTGTTCCTTTCTTTTTTTTGGTCTGTAAAATGGGGGGAGGGGTCTCCCCTTCCCAGTAGATCGTATTTTTTTTTTGGCATTGAAAAGGGGAGGAAAATTATCGTGAAATGTCCAGTGAAATGATAGACATCATTAGGTACTTTAGTATACAAAAATATTTTGGACTCCAAACTTTTGGAGAGCAGAAAGGAAGTGAGTGGAAATAAAATTTAAAATCAAACAGGAAAGAGACATAGCAGCTATATAAAATTGTGAATTTGGTTCTTATGAGCGTTGTTTACACAAATTATTTGCCGAAATATTTACTTTTATATTCTGTATAATCATTATTGAAGTTAAACTTAGATTGTTTTATTTACACAAATTTCATTGATCTTCTTGCCTTGTCTGAGATTAAGTACTTTTGGAATATATAGATAACATTTTTTGTATGCTGTCAAATTTTTAACATTATTTTTATTTTGAATAAAAGCATATCTTTCCATGAAAAAATTGTGTTGTGCCAACTATGTTTAGTCCTGACTGTTGTTTATCAGTACTTAAGTATTTATGCTCTCATTTAAAATGCTGAAAAATGTTATATTGGCACAGTGCGATCTTTTTTATTGAGGTGACATGAAACTTTTCAAAAATCCTGAGTTCGAATTAAGGCAGCGAAACATTTAGGCCCAGTAAGTTAACATAAAAAAGCTATCCCATCAGATTTAAATTTCTTTGTTATTTCTTCCACACTGTTTAAAAAAAATTCAGCGCAAGTGTCACAAAATATGTACATTGCTCTTTAGTGCAATGATGACCTTGTATTTGCCTCACAACCCATAAGTAGCTTGTTTGAACTCATCCAGGGTTGTGCCCAGCTGTGGGAAAATAGTAGGGTGTGATAGACTCATCAGACCAGCTAAGAATCTTTTTTGCAGTAAAAAAACCCCCAAAAAACCAGCAGTCAACTTGTTATGGGATTAACATTTTCCAACTCAATAATGGAGCCTCACATATATTATCAAAAAGTTTGATGTCAGGGAAAATAATGAACATAGAAACAAAATAATACAAATAAGATTGGTTGTAGTAAAGCATTTTACAGGATTTTACAGACTTGATGTGCCAGAATTTAACCCAAAAAAAAAAAATTTCTTATTCAGAAAATTGGAAAAGTCAATATCAGTTGAATATACAAAAACAAGTCAGGAAGGTAGTACAATTATTTATAGCATATAATAATAAAGTTGATGCTCTAGTTCAAAATAGTTGATTTATAAAAGACAAGTGGTTTTCATGATTCTTGATTGAAAGTTTTTTTGCCTGCTGGGCATTATGACTTACTTCCTGCCTAGATGTTAGTTAACAAGAGGAACTTAGAATTACAATTTTGGGATTACTGATGAGTAAGTCAGCGATCTTCTATATTTTACACTTGCATCTCCTCAGATTGTGCAGTCTTACTTTAACCAGACTCATGGTGCTACGCCCACTAGAAACAGAATTAACATCTCTTTTAATAGCTGTGAAAATGCAGGTAACACGATTGTTTGCAACATAATTCTCTGTAACACAATGTTAATTCAATGATTTTTTTTTGTGGGTGCAGCTTCTGTTGACACAGTTTTAATGTTGAATGATTTCATTGATGACATGTTTTATATTTCTTTGCTATCATATAATCAAAATAATTTTTCTATTTTATTTCACTGTCTACATTAATGGTTTAGGATTTTTCTCAAACTTAAGCAATCCTTTGTCCATTGGACTATAATGAATTGAAATATTTTGTCATAAGCACAAGTCTGTGCATGTCATCCATGTAACATTGTAATCTCTATTTAGAATTCTAAGAGGATATTACGGTCCAATGAGATTAGAGTGCCACCTGGTGGATTATTGGACACAGATCTAGATCTCTCTTTTTCACTTCAGGTAATTGAAAATATATTGAAAAAAATCCATGGAACTAGTAAATGTACAACTAAATGTATCCAAATATCTTTATTTAAATACATCAAAAACCCTTGAAGCTAGTTGACTGTACAATGTTTAGAAAGACATTTGCTTATTCTTTTATTTACAATAACTTGCATCCATGTTGAAGTATACATTTTAGGTAAAAGTAAATTCAAATTGCCTTTTGTAATGCCAGATTAAAATATTTTTTTTCTTGCTTTCAACAGTATCCTCATTTCCTAAAACGTGATGGCAATAGATTGCATGTTATGCTTCAACGAAGAAAAAAATACAAAAATAGGACTTTCTTGGGCTTCAAAACTTTGGCTGTTGGACAAGTGAATATGTCCCAGGTAATGGTGACCTTAAAACTTTATGAGCACTATGGGAATTGATTTCTTGTCCTTTTTTTTGGTATTAAGCTAAGAATAGTCTAATTAACTGTTAAATTAGCTACACAAAGATAGCGCTGGGTAATTATGACTTGTCACAAATATCTAATTATTCCTTTATACAAAGATAATAATTATTGGCTGCCATTATTTGTAAACACTAGCAATCACAAGTACCAGGGTCCTTTTTTTTAACATCTGATATTAAAACAAACATCAGGAATTTCTGACAAATCTAATTTTAATTATTGTAAAACTAACCCGTCTTTACTCAACAGGTCCTACAGTGTTCAATGGACAGGGAGCTGAGCCTGTATAGTGATGTCAAAGAACAAACCAACCCAGTTGCAAATCTTGTTTTGCTTGGGCTCACCAGCCAGCCAGTCGATCACGAGATAAATGGCCACAGGAAAAATGCATCTTCAGATGTTGGTAAGAAAGGAATTATTAGTTAGTCACCACTTTAGGATGTCTGTAATTTCTCATATAAAATATTTAGAGATACATGCAGCAAATCTTTTTCAAATAAATAAACATAATTACCTTAGAAAGAAATTTTGTTAGACCACTCTTTCGCTTCCAGCTGGCTTTACAGTAACACTTTTGTTGAATCATATTTCAGATCGATCACCTGATATTGATAATGACAGTGATGATGATGATGGCCCTGAGTATAATGATGATTCTTCAAATGATGACATGAGTGATAGTGAGCCCACGATGACAGAGCCAAGGGCCAGGCAGAGGAAGCACAGCAGATCTAAGGCTAGGCCTGCTGTCACAGTAAGTGATGTATTTGAATATTTGGAGTCCAACATATCAAATATGTTAACATTACAAATATTTGGGGTACAAATATCAAATCTGTTAACATTGTAAATATTGTAGTCTAATAGATCAAAGGGGAGCCTGATTAAGTGGATATTATTCAAGTACATTTATGCTTAATCTGCAGAACAAGTTTTTGATTACAGAATAAGACTCCTCAATCTTCTACTACTGGATAGCTTTACATTGGGGAACTCTGTGTTACAGTAAATATCATTGTTATATTTATATGGTATTCATGAAACAGTTTGCAGTGTTTCTTGAATTTAATTTTTTGTATACCTCTTCAATTAGCAAAGGAACATTAAACAAAAGTTCAGAGCTTTACTAAGGAGATTCAAAATATCAGAAGATGTAAGTAGTTTTATGTAGATATTTCCTTTAATGGTATTATATGTTGTTGTAATGAACTTCTCAAGATGTATGTGAATATTGGCATGTGTTATACATAGAATGTAATATACATTCTTTTTGTTTAGCTAGCATGTCTCCTTGTAGGTAAACATGTGAGTTATAATCCTGGTAACTTTTTTATTCAAAATGATGGTTACATTGTAAATATGTTTAAGATGTTGACAGTTTAGACATTTAAACATGTTTATTATGAATGTGACAGTTTCTGACATTGAAAACATGTTTATTGTGAAGGTGACAGTTTCTGACATTGAAAACATGTTTATTGTGAAGGTGACAGTTTCTGACATTGAAAACATGTTTATTATGAAGGTGAAAGTTTCTGACATTGAAAACATGTTGAAGATGGTGACAGCTTCTGACACTGAAAACATGTTTATTATGAAGGTGAAAGTTTCTGACATTGAAAACATGTTGAAGATGGTGACAGTTTCTGACACTGAAAATGTGTTTATTATGAAGGTGACAGTTTCTGACACTGAAAACATGTTTAAGAATGTGGTGTGGGGATCCAGCTTAAATAAGCTTATAATATATGTATATGTTAAAGTTGATATGTGGGTCCTTTTTGCAGGTGCTGACAACACTTGATTCAGAGGCTGATCATGATCAAATCCCTAACCCCCAAGAGCTTGACGATCTGTTTGATGAGCTAGAAGATTCTGACAGTGGGCCAGAGCTGGACACAATGAGCGTTATGTCAACACCAAAGCCAAAATTAAGGTTGGTCTAGATGTTTTGTAAACCCTAACTCTGTGAGGATTTTAATGTGGTCCACTTTTCATTTTAAACGTTTCTACTAAACAAAAAAGAGTAACCGGAGATTGGAAGACTAACACTGTACTCATTGTAACCTATGTGATTAGTGTAACCTGAGTGCGTTGCATGGACTGGTATTAAATATTAATTATCTTTCAATATCCTCACCATACTGACTTCACTCACAAGTCCAAATTTTACACACATCACTTTATTGATACACAAAATCATCACAAATCAAAATACGCTAGTCCTTATGATATAATAATTCACTTGTTAATAATCACACACAATTAATGATATTATAGAACCCTTATGAAACATACATGTGATACATTCTGACTCTAAGATCTATCTTTCTTTCTCTATCTCTTGTCTAACATGGCTGATCCATCCTTATTTTTTTTAGTTCCCCCTCCTTTGATTTTATCATATCCTTTATTTCTCATGAAAATCTTGTTGATCTTTAAAATGATCAATATAGTAAGACGTTGCACTCATTGAAATTAAATTGAATATTTTTAAAAAAAATATTCAGCCATTCAAAACCTATATTTCTCTACAAACTAAGTGGCAATTACCTTGAAAAAATGTCTGTTTTGATAAATTGAATAATTTAGATTTCAGCTAATAAAAACTCATAATTCTCTGCAAACTAACAAAAAAAACAACTAATTCCATATTTAATTCTTTTTTCTTTCTTTTGTCACATCTGCTGAAGAAAGCATGTAGCCCTTTTAATTGTCCTGTCTTTCCATTTATTTCCTTGACATGGCTTCACAGTCCCTCAAATGTTATCCATAGTTCAATAAATAAATTCTAAAACTATGTTTATCATTTCAAAGGGGAAACTACTGCTTTTCCCAAGGTTGGCTCTCTTGCCATCAGTTGACATGTTAATGGTCAAAAACTCTATACAGGGGGAGTAACTGCATATTCTGGAGATGCAAAGTTTGTCTCTCTTAGCGTTAGTTCCAGACATATTATTGACATGATTTATGTTATTTGAATTAATTGTCCAGAAGTAATATTTGATTCGTAAAAGTTTCGAAATCCTGAACCATCTATTTTGATGACAGTTATTATTAGATGTTCCCATTTTCAAAGGAGATCTTGGAGGGGTAATGCCCTCTGTATTCTTTATATACTGAACTAAGCTCTTCTTATTCATTCCTCATTCAGTCTATGTTGTAATGAGTTTTTACTCGTGTTTTTTAAATTTCATCTTATGTTAGTTGATTATATGGTTTCAAGAAATAGAACTGAGCTAAATTTACTTCAAAATTATAGTGATTGTTTTTTTTTTCCCTTGCAGGCCATTCTTTGCTGGAAGAGGTCTAACCCCAGAGTTCTCAGAACAACCAAAGTCTTCCTCACAGGTTAGCTCTTGTACTTTAATTGTACACTTTTTTTTTTACTTACAAATAAATTCAATTTGGTATCCTCAATAAATTTCAGTTAATGTCTTTGAAATGCTTAGCCATTTAAAAGAAATGTAAGAACAAGGTATGCCAAACTTGAACTTATAGACAGGACAAAAGATTTTTTACTGTGATCTGATACTTGTTATACTTCTTTTTGTCTTGTTTTCTGATGAAGGCTCTAAGCCGAAACATCAAAATCTTTTGACTTGTCTATAAATTCAAGTTTGGCATACCTTGTCCTTATATTTCTTTTACACAACTCGAATGCAGTCCATCAATTTTAAATATATTAGTTATTTAAGTTTGGTTTTCCTTTTTTTTTGTGTGGATATTCGAAACAATTTTTTGGTTTTAATTTTTTACAGGAAATGTTCCGCACACAAGAGGAGACGCCAGTGAAACGAAGTGATTCAGACTTACATACGGTAAATCAATTTTAGAATTATTCTTATCACCACATGAAGCAATCTCTTAAGCTTTACAAGTATTTAATTTAGTGTTTGTATAACAATCCAACAATGGGGAAAAGTTGTGATACATTTGTTAAGCAGCATTGTCAAGCTGATGAACATATAAGAAATTCTATTTTATATCATAGATACAACAATTAGATTTGCTTCATGTGTTCATCCTAAAATTTTGATTGCGACATGCTTGGATTTTAGGCATGTGTTTAAATGTATTTGTTTACATGTTAGCTAGGGCACATTCAAGTGTTTTCAGTCCAAACTTGCAAGTGTTAATGTGTAGAGAATGAAACTCTTTGCATGCGTGCACCCATACTATAAAGCATGTCAACATCTTGGCAGAGGCACAAGTAGCGCTCAACTCACCATTTTTAATGAGAATTTCCTTCTTTTTTTTTTTTTTTTAACTTAAAAAAAAAACAAAATCAAAATGAATTTTTCAATGAAATTTAAAAATTGAAAAAGTTGTAATTAAAAGACAGATTCAAGAATTTACCCAACAGAAATAAATTTGGTATAGTGGTCATTCACAAGAGCTTTTGTTGCATGAATTGCTTGAACTTCACATTCTGTCGCCCTTACCACCCCCCTTTCCGTACCAAACCATCGCACCATTTCACACTTTAATTGAAAAAATAGTTTAGCCATGGCTCATGCAGAAACCCAAAAATTACCCCCCCTTTTGGCCTCACCCATTATCCCATACATCTTCCTTCTTTTATGAACAACAATTATCACATCTATAGTATTTCTGACTGTGATTGATTCTTTCTCTCCCCTCTTGCTGCTACATCTACCTGCTCCCTGAATCATTTGTGCATTTTAGATCTTAAACTTTTTTTTTCCAACTTTTTGTCTGATCCTATATTTTAATTGTTCCCTCCTCCAGACTGTTGTGTCCCAGTTATGCCAGGAAGTATGTACTTTTTAATTAATTTTTTTTTTAAAATTATTTTTTTCTCTCTTTGTAGTAGACCTCCATTGGTTCATTGTGAAGATATCTTTTCACTTGTCTTTTACATTATATAAATATCTTTTTTGTCATAAAAGGGACAGCAGGAATGAAGGGTGAATAGAAAATTTGATGTTATCTTAAAGTGGTAGAAGATAGTGGTTTCCCTTATAATCTTCAATTTGTAGAACCCAGTGGTTTCCTGTATTATCTAGAACACAGGTTCCTAACCTTTTTTGATTCACTACTCCATTTCTTAGAAGCTAAGTGACCTACAACCCTGATGCATTTAAAAAAATTTTTTCGTAGTGCACATGAAACCTCAAGATAGATTTTTTTAGTAAGATGTTATTCAATACAATTTTAACGTACAACATATTTAATTGATTGAAATTATAACTCATTAACAGGATTCAAAATTCAAATTGAGATTTGGTTTAATGCTAACCTCATGTTGTTATCAACATTTAATCAGTTTCTTTTATTTGTTTTCAAATGAAGATGGTTGAAAAAACTTTCTCATAGAGATGTTTAAAGACAAATGACATATTATGATATTGCTCAAACTTTACGATACTGATTAAAAAACAAAATTGCTTAAAAATCTTTAATTTTTGTTTAGTTGACTCTTTCAGGCCCCCCCCCCCCCTGATCTAAAAGCTGTATGGCCCAGTAGTTTCTTCTATAATCCAGAGGATGGTTTCCTAACCTGTGGTGCTGAGGGGTTGCAAGCTGGAGTTTCAGGGGGAGAAGTTAGTTTTTAAGTTAGGACATAAATGTTTATATATTGTAAACATTTTTTCATTAACATTTTCCTTTATGTAATCAGTCACAAGTTTATTTCCTAAGCTCTACACTTCTCTCTTGTAATTAAATAGATCAATTAGAAGTCCATTATTTTCAAATTGTAAAATGCATTGTTCCTTTGTGTGGAGTGCAAGACATCAAAACAATTCATTGGTGGTGCGAGACTACACAAGTAATTATCGGGGGGTGCAGGGTAAATAAAATGTTGTGGATAACTGATATAGAAAATTTAGGATCAAGTGGTTTCCTGTATTATCTCAAAGTTTGATCAATGTCAACTGTAGATCTAATTTTATTCCTATACTTTAAGGGATGCTAGATTTTATTTCATACCATCACTGAGCATAGATTATCAGCATAAGCTTTATTGCTTTATTAAAATTTGCCTTTTATTCTCTTCCCCATGATGGTCCATGATATGCCTCCTTGCTTGACACTTGCTTATGGTTGCTAATTGTACAAAGCCAAATACCAAATTATTATTGAATGTGATTGCTAGGGAAAATCATGCCTAACTTCATTGAAATGACTTATTTTAACATGAACATGTACATTTCTAAAGTAATTCTCTCGAAACAATGAAATATCTACAAGAAAGAATATGAGTTAAGTGCAAACATTGTGTTGATCTTAGCGCAGCAGGTAAAATGCTCCTGAATCTGCCTGTATATATTCTTTACTTTTCTTAGTTGTATGCTATTGATAATGTATAGATACTTTTAATAGAAACAGTATATGGGACAGTATTGCTCTCATTGGGGTCTGACCAATTTTTTTTGTCCAAACGACTTCTATTTTCTCACCTTCCCTATCAATCCCCTTATTTACTGCTTCATCATTAACTTTAGTCTGGTATTTCCATGCTGGTTTCTTCTTCACCTTCAAATACCATGTAATCACCTACATATTTATGCTGTGGTCGATAATATAGTGTATGACAATCCTTGACTTTTCCTTAAATTGGGCTGTGCTGGATATGGAAAGAAGTGAGCTGTCACTGAGAGGAAGCATGTGCTTTGCAAGCAGCTTTGAATATTCAAACATTCACTTATGAGTCTCAACTCATGTTTTGGAAATAGTTTTTCTAGAGTCTACATTTTCCCTTCACACTCTTTCTGACATGCCAGGGATAATCAAGTGTAGTGAAGATCTTCAGCACATTGCCACACGCACAATTTAAAAAAAAAAAAATGTTTATGTTTTTTTTTTAATGTGCGAAATCTTTATTGACTTCTGGGATGTAAGCAATGTTTGCTGAGGTCATCACAATGTCAGATTACAACTCAAAGTTTAGTATAACACCAAGAAATATAATTATTTTTCAATTTTTACAAGTGAAGTGGAGAGGTATAGAGAATTTCTTGAAGTACAGTTTTAATCAATGAAAATTATATATTTTGGATGACTTGCTATCAGAGACATTATGTCAGATTTAAAAGACTACAGTTCTCATATTGTCTTTAACAGTTTGATGGTTGTAGCTTTTTTTTCCAGCAGTCACAGATTGACTGATTTTTTTTGTCCAAGAATAGTCTTTGCTTTGACGACAATTCATTAGACCTTCTCATTATTTGCATTTTAATTTTGAAAATGTGGTTATCTAATGTGTGGACTTCAGAGTGAGTTATTTACAGTCACATCAGCATGTGTGACTACTGTTTGGGTTTTGGACACCTGCAACTCGTGTCTGGTTTTCCTTGACTCAATGTTATTTGGTGAAACTGATCGGTACACATTTTACTGCAGATTGGTTTCTGTGTTCCTCTTTAAAAAAAGGATTTGATTGACAATGTAAAAACAATGTATTTATTGTACAAATAAATAATGAGATTGATAATTTTACCCAGTGCTGAACTAGACATTTTCTTACTCAGCACCTTTATAAACTTAAGCTGGTTACCAATGTGTATTAACTAGAAAGATTAGCAAACAATTTCACACTTTTAGGGAGATTACATTTGCAATAAGTGACAAAATTAATTAGATTAAATTTAAGCAAAATTATTTTGACAAAATTTCTCAGCTTTGAGAGCCTCATTAATGCCACCCGATTGTGCTGGATTTTTTGTTCACCTGTCTTGCTAAAGGAATGCTGTCTTTTTATCTATTACAAATGAGCAGAGATATTATATGTTGTACATAACCGGCGCACATGTATAATAAAGAATGTAAGCAGGTTCATGAGTCAAGAAGTTTTACTTGACATGCCCTTAGCAAATGCAGCAAATATCAGTAACTTTAAAAAAAAATCCATTGGTTACAAAAATTATAAAAGCCTTACATTTGTATTTAAAATTTAAAAAAAATAAGTATTGCATTTTATGCCAAAGATATTGGCCATATACTTGGATGAACCGGTGCATGCCGAGTGATTAACCTCTATGCTTGTGTGCTTCTCTCATCTAACCTGCCCAGTGGAGACATTCAGACCTTGAAGGATCTGATTCGCAAAACCCGAGCACCAACGAGTCCTCACCCAGACCGCACTCTCCTCGGCCCAAGACCAAAGAGTTGATTAGGGATCGGATACGCAGCACTTCCTATAGGGAGAAGAAGAGTCGAAAGGAGTTTAAGCAACTTCGTAGGAATAGTGTGGGGGAAGATGGGTCACTGGTCAGTGGAAATCTTCTCACTGCTTCTTATAGGCTACTATATTTTCTAACCTCATTTCATTGGCTACAGTATTATATAGTCATCTCACCTCATTGGCTAATATTTTGTCTTCTCACCTCATTGGCTACTATATTGTATTCTCATAGGCTACCTTGTTTTTTTCTCATCTTCACACTTCTTAAATTACCATATTTTCTCACATGTCTTGCTACCCACCGTCTTGTCACTCGATGAGCTATTGTCAACTTCAACTAACTGTCAACCCTGTTGTCAACTCATCTGATTGGCTATTATTTCTTTAGGTACCATCAGCTCACCCTTTCAGCAGTCATTTTAGTCGCCACCCTTTTTATCTAATGCCTCCACAATGCCTCATTTTTCTAGTTCATTGCTTCTCTATGTCCTTACAGCCAAAAAAAAAATTTTTTACAAGGCAATTTATGTGAAAAAGAAAAAAAATTTTTTTTTTTTCAATAGTCCATTTCTCACTATCTCAATGTAAAAAAAAAAAAAAAAGAATACGTCTTTCTAGTTCAATCCGCTTTAGATGCTTGCTTGTGAGCACACCTGCCTGGTTCACATTCTCTCCTGTCCATTAATCATCTCATTACCACTCTTTGTCTCCCCCTCACCAAACTCAAGCTTTCATTCTACTGACCAATGGTTGTCAAGCAGTATTGTTGCTTTGATTAGTGCTCTGGCTACTGAGTCCTTGCTTACAATGTAACATCGTAATAACAGTGAGCTTGACTTGGCGGAGATGTTGTACTAACCAGCTCTTGTTTTGAAGCAGACTTTAGCAGCAGCATTTGAAATGGTTTTGTTTATTAACATGTTCTTGGCCTAATTTTGGGTATTTTATTTCTCTTTATCTGTTCTAAAAAAAAATTTTGAATGTTTTTATTAAATATTTTAATAGAGTTTAAATTATGAATTGATAATTAACTCTTTTTAACTATCCTGTAATTAAATTATTCTGATTCACATCGCCCATCCAGGGCAGTGCTTCTCATTTTGTATGGCAGTTAGGTGATACGGTTGGCAGGGAATGGGGTGCTTTATGGTACAATAAAGTAATTCTTCTTATGAAAATAATCACTTAAAGCTTTTTAGGATATTTCCACACACACAGTGTGAATGATTCTAATAAAACATGTTCAGCAACCCAATCCTTTCCTTTAGAGCTCTCTTATTAGAGACAGATAAATTGGATAAAATCTCTTATTATTTTCTATTTACTTTATGCCATTGATATGAGAACTATTATTTTAAAATAGTCATTAAACTTTTGACGGCCAAGACTAATTTAAGAGCTTCTGATACGATGCAGTGTTTGCAAAGAGTTAGGAACTACCTACATGAACATAGTGTGAAAAGAGTTAAGACCTCCCACCATTAACGTAGTTAGCAAAGAGTTAGGTCCTCCCTACATTAATGTAGTTAGCAAAGAGTTAGGACCTCCCTACATTAATGTAGTTAGCAAAGAGTTAGGACCTCCCTACATTAATGTAGTTAGCAAAGAGTTAAGACCTCCCTACATTAATGTAGTTAGCAAAGAGTTAGGACCTCCCTACATTAATGTAGTTAGCAAAGAGTTAAGACCTCCCTACATTAATGTAGTTAGCAAAGAGTTAGGACCTCCCTACATTAATGTAGTTAGCAAAGAGTTAGGACCTCCCTACATTAATGTAGTTAGCAAAGAGTTAGGACCTCCCTACATTAATGTAGTTAGCAAAGAGTTAGGACCTCCCTACATTAATGTAGTTAGCAAAGAGTTAGGACCTCCCTACATTAATGTAGTTAGCAAAGAGTTAAGACCTCCCTACATTAATGTAGTTAGCAAAGAGTTAGGACCTCCCTACATTAATGTAGTTAGCAAAGAGTTAGGACCTCCCTACATTAATGTAGTTAGCAAAGAGTTAGGACCTCCCTACATTAATGTAGTTAGCAAAGAGTTAGGACCTCCCTACATTAATGTAGTTAGCAAAGAGTTAAGACCTCCCTACATTAATGTAGTTAGCAAAGAGTTAGGACCTCCCTACATTAATGTAGTTAGCAAAGAGTTAAGACCTCCCTACATTAATGTAGTTAGCAAAGAGTTAGGACCTCCCTACATTAATGTAGTTAGCAAAGAGTTAGGACCTCCCTACATTAATGTAGTTAGCAAAGAGTTAAAACCTCCCTACATTAATGTAGTTAGCAAAGAGTTAAGACCTCCCTACATTAATGTAGTTAGCAAAGAGTTAAGACCTCCCTACATTAATGTAGTTAGCAAAGAGTTAGGACCTCCCTACATTAATGTAGTTAGCAAAGAGTTAGGACCTCCCTACATTAATGTAGTTAGCAAAGAGTTAGGTCCTCCCTACATTAACGTAGTTAGCAAAGAGTTAGGACCTACGTACATTAATGTAGTTAGCAAAGAGTTAGGACCTCCCTACATTAATGTAGTAAGCAAAGAGTTAGGACCTCCCTACATTAATGTAGTTAGCAAAGAGTTAGGACCTCCCTACATTAATGTAGTTAGCAAAGAGTTAGGACCTCCCTACATTAATGTAGTTAGCAAAGAGGTAGGACCTCTCTACATTAATGTAGTTAGCAAAGAGTTAAGACCTCCCTACATTCATGTAGTTAGCAAAGGCTTAGGACCTCCCTACATTAATGTAGTTAGCAAAGAGTTAAGACCTCCCTACATTAATGTAGTTAGCAAAGAGTTAGGACCTCCCTACATTAATGTAGTTAGCAAAGAGTTAGGACCTCCCTACATTAATGTAGTTAGCAAAGAGTTAAAACCTCCCTACATTAATGTAGTTAGCAAAGAGTTAAGACCTCCCTACATTAATGTAGTTAGCAAAGAGTTAAGACCTCCCTACATTAATGTAGTTAGCAAAGAGTTAGGACCTCCCTACATTAATGTAGTTAGCAAAGAGTTAGGACCTCCCTACATTAATGTAGTTAGCAAAGAGTTAGGACCTCCCTACATTAATGTAGTTAGCAAAGAGTTAGGACCTCCCTACATTAGCAATTTTAGAAAATATACAGAGATAATTATGTTTAGCACATTTAAAAAAAGTAATTAACAAATCCTACTCCTCATATCCAATAGCACAAGAAATATGTACACCTTTTATTTAATGTTCCTTACTTATAGTTATATCATTATATCTTTTGTATTAAACCTTTAGATGTTTTAGTGAGGACAGACTCATTCATATCCTTTTATTTCTTAGTGTTACACTTCATATATTTTATAATGACAAATCAGGCTTAGTTGTATTGTTTTTCCTCTAGTGTTAAACCATATACATTTTATAATTATTAGTGAGAGCTGAGTCAAATTGTTTTATATTTCAGTTCTACTCCTTATCTATTGTACAAATATGTACTGATTTAAATCATTATATCTATTAATGTTACACCTTATACATTATTTAATTTTAAGTTAGGACTGACTTTTACTGTTTTACCTTTAACTTTTACACTTTTTTTGACACATATTATATGTTTTAAAATTATGAGTGTAGTTAATTCACTGGCAAACATTTAGTTTTAGCAAGGCAAATGTTTAATACTTATGAAGAAAAGCTCTCTTTCAGGATAAGCTGTAATTTACAAAAGAATTGGTTATTAACATTCTACCTAATATTACAACGATTTAAAGTAATTATTATATTTCTCATTAAAATTATTAAAAACGTATTTTAATTGACATCATTTATTACTTGACATTATATATTCAAATACATTAAATTATATTTCTGATCAGGAAATCTTACCATCCCATTGATCTAGTAGACTAATTTCCCATTATTTTGTTATACCATGCCAGGTGACCAATATTCTAAAGAATCAAAGAAATGAAATAGGCCAGGTGACTTGACTCCGCTGCTCTCTAAATTATTTATTTTCAGTTTGCATTCTTTTTCAAGCTTATCATATTCCAAAAAAACCCTTGCATTTCTCCATTAACATGTTTTGTACATTTCGCAGCAACATTTTTATGCTCTTAATCTTAATGATTAAAACATTTTATAAAATTTTTTTCAATAAATCCATTAAACTATGCCATCATATCTGTGTCAGCTATTTGACAGTGAAAAGTAGAAGATAAGCTATTGGGAATGAAATTGCTAAAAGCATATCTGCACTGAGATTAAAATATAGTTAAATCAAATTTGTGTGTAATACATGCACAACATTGAGGATTTTCTCCAGATAATTATATGAATTCCCCATGTTCCTTTCTTTGATGTTTATATATAGGTATATCAATGTAACTGTAACTGACATGTTTCTTGGATGGAGCTTGTCACAATAACACTATTTAATTGGAATATGCTCATTTCGTTTGCTTCTACATAATGCTGCATATCATTAAATTATCATCTGTTATTACTGTGTCAATAATTGAGTCACAGAAATCATGAAGGTCCCTTTATTATTGCCCCTGTGTACAGAAATTATTGTTAGAACCATTTAAAAGAAATTATTTCAAATTTGGAGGGATATTTTAAATTTAAAAAACAGCAACTGTATTCTAAATTAAACATACTTTGTTCAATTCTTAGTACTTGGACAAGGGCTCAGATCAGTGGGTGTTATGCCAAATGACAGAGTGAAGATAATTTTTTTTTTTTATCAAATTGATATGTCTTTAAAACTGCTTGCTGGCTCATGTGTCATTCACAGATTCATAAGTTAGTGAACATACCACAACAGTTTAGAAAAAAAAGAGCGTCTAAAGTTGTTGAGATGGTAGGATTCTGTTGTCTGACATGGTGCCAACCCACTTTGTGTTAACGCTAAATATCTACCAGCTCATATCTTTAATGTTTTTCCACCTCTAGAACTCTAGTCAACATCACTTAAGCTGATCACATAATTTGTCTTATTATTCTATATTAATTTGATTTACCATGTTTTTACCTACTTGCTTATAATATAATGATATAGGATTTTATTAGTTTTTTTGTGTTTAAACATTTCAAAAATAACCCTTTACTTGATATTTGTTTAAGAATTTAATCTCTAACCATCATCCAAGACATAACATTAAAACCACAGCTCAAAATTCATCTTCATAGCATTGTATCTTCCTCACTCTTTCTGTTAAAATGGCCACAATGACCTTACCTTGTGTAATACTAAAAGGACAGTCCAATAATGATCTGAATTCTTCTTAATCAAACTATAAAAATGTGTATCTATTTAGTCATTAAAATGGAATAAATATTCATTGAATACGGTCCTGGTTCTTTAAATTTGGATTTGCGTTGGTGTTGCAGCCTCGTAAGGCTCTGTTGGACCAACTGAGCGCTGTGTTTGATAGTGCTGATGACCACCTGCCTGAGTCCATCTTCATGGTCAACACCTCAGAATGGCAGGGCCAGATGCTTGTTCAGAAGATACAGGACAGACAGCTCCGACTGATCTGTACGGTTACAGAGGCGGACGTCAAGGCAGCCATTTGTTTCCTGGTCACCAAAATACAGAAGTTGTAAGTCTTTTTTTAAAAAGAAAACTGTCTCCTTGTCACCCAGATATTGAAGTTGTAAGTAGTAATTAAAACAAAGAATTAACATGTAGTCCGGTGTTTCCCAACATGGGGCCCACGCCCCACCAGAGGGGCAATTTGATTTTTTTCGGGGGGCAATTCAAAAATGAGCTGTCTACAATTTGAAAACCAACTGCCTTGAGCCACATTTGAAGGCCAAATGTAGTTTCAAAAAATTAAAGAACAAAATTGGAAAAAGAACAACCTTTAAGTCTCTGTTTACTGACAATTGTACTTATGAGGCTACCTATGAAATTTCTTTACTCATGGCTAAATCTGGGTAAAAATCAAACTATAGGAGAGAATTTAATCAAATCATCAATATCAGCATTTCTTAAAACTGTTCTGGAAAAAGATGACAAAGATGTGAAATCTATGCCACTCAGTAACAATACTGTTAGCAAACAAAAAATAATAATAAAATATATGAAATGAGTGAATATTTTGAAATACAACTTTTTGAAAAGCTGAAAACAAAAAACTCAGCGCACATTGATGAATCAACTTTGAGAGACAGTGAGGCTGTACCGATAACTTAAGATATATTGATAAAGGAAATTTTGCTGAAGAAATATTGTTCTGTAAATCAGGTCTGCACAACTCATAATGTAAGGCGGGCCGTAAGCTTTATCAAAAATGTGTGTGGACCGTAAGCTTTATGAAAAACTTGTGTGGGCCAAAAGAAAATAGATCAGGGATGAAAGCTATTTAGGAAATAATAATAATAAATAATACTTCATTACTCCGCTGGCCACCAAGTGGGTGCTGGAGGGCCGCGGGCCGTATGTTGTGCAGGCCTGCCGTAAATCATTAGAAAGCACCGCTACTTCCAAAGATATATATAATGAGATACAAAATTACTTTGATGTCAATAATATACCAATACAAAATAAAATATAATATCTTGTGCTGCAGATGGTGGTCCTAATATGATGGGCAAAAAAGTGGCTGCTTTAAAATGAAAAGATAATGAATAATAAATGAAATGATAAATAATAAAAATATTTGAGTTAATCTTTCTTTTTGCCCTTGAATTACAGTTCTCCATTATATGTTTTAAACATTTACTTAACTGTGCCTCCTTAAAAATTTCTTTGTAAATCCTATTCATTCCAAATCCATTTTCCTCCTTCCTACCTGAAACCTGTCATATATATAACATAGGGGGTATAGGAATTTTAGAAAGGCTCAGGTGGGGCATGGCACAAAAGAGTTTGGGAAACACTGATGTAGTCAGTGATGTGTATTCTGATTGATTTGTTGAATAACCATGTATGCCCAGCCTGTAGCTTGCTCTCTTTTTGCAGTTGCAACAGCAATGCCCGGACACCTGCCCCTATCAAAGTTGGTGTGGTAGGAGGTGATGCCTACATTAACTCAGTCCTACGACCATACGTTGAACATTTCTCCAACAAGTCTCCAGACTGGCAGAACTACACCAAATTTCTCGTTATTCCTTTTGGTGGGTTTTTTTGTTTTTGTTTTTTTTGGTATCTTTCTTTTCAATCGTAATTTTTATTTTAACACTGAACATTTGATGAAAATGTACATCACATTCCCAATTATTCTTTTATGATTCTTTTCTTTTATGAATTATTATTCTTGTTATTTTTAATATTTTAGTTTTAATTATTTTTTATATCAAATTTAAAGAAAAAAGTCTAGAAAATTAATTGGTATGAAACATTCACCATCAATAAGTTTTAGGCATAAAAAAATAGGATGACATAGCGTTAACTCAGAAAAGTGTCTTATTATAGTATTTCAAGGAAGAGTAAGCTGTGTACAGTCTAAATCCTCATTTGATTGCTTGTATCATAAATAGAAGTAACTGAGCCCAAAACAAAATTTCATTTCACTTTAATTCAAAAACAGACTTGGATATTTTTACACATGTCAAGGCAGTCACACACCTTTTTAATTTATTTTATTGCCCTTCAGCCAAGAACCTTTGGTATTATTTATTTTATCTTAGTTCAAGTTGCTTTCAATTTCAAGAATGGTTTCTTTATTGTGGGTATTTATGTGGCTGTATTCCCAGATTAGGGGGAGCAACTTAATTGACATATTATGTAGTCCTATCACACTGGAAGAGCCATTGGTATTATTAATTTTATCTTAGTTCAAGTCGCCTTCAATTTCAAGAATGTTTTCTTTATTGTGGTTATTTATGTGGCTGTATTCCCAGATTAGGGGGAGCAACATAATTGACATTATGTAGTCCTATCACACTGGAAGTGTTTTAAAAAAATTTTTTTTACATGAACTCATGGTGGAGTTCTAATAGAATTGTATTGTTAGAATTTTTTAATCAGAGTTTCCATTATCAGGCCCCAGCTCTATAGGCAAATACATAGCCAGTGTGGACAGCATCTATGGCTCACTGTTCTTAGATCAACAGTGGAAAGACACATTTGAAAAGCTGGATTCACCAAAACTAGGTGTGTAATTTTATGTTCATATCTCTCATAACACTCTGTTCACTTCGTGACCAGAATAATAAAGAAATTAAGACCTGGTCTCACTATGTCATCATGTGATTCCATGTAACTATAACTTGCATAAAAATAAATAATTTTTGTGTAGAAAAAGTAGAGCTAGTGTTACAATGTAAAGCTGTGTTGTTTGTATAAAAGTTGATGTAATTTTACAGTTCAACATTATTTTATTAGTACAACGTGATAATTTGTACCAACAAGATATGAAAACTACTTTTATGCTTCCATTTATAGTTTTATTTATATAGTTGGGTTTATAGTTTTATATTAAGTTGTATTTTTATTTTTAAAAATAGTTGCAAAACCAGCTCAGTAACCTGAGTTTGATTTTGAGAAAAGGCTGTTTTTGTTTAGCAAATATACCATTCTAATTTTTTTTGTTCTGATGACATATTCTACTTATGTGGAGGTTTTCATTTTTTTTAAAATTCAAAAAAAACCAAAGTAAGTATCACTAAGTAAACAGGTTTATAATTTTATTATGTTAAAAGTGTTTCTAGAGAAAAACTTCCAAGCCCAGCTGTAAACCGTGGGGTAAAAAAATTAAATAATTACATTTAAGACTTTAGTCAAAAGAATCTTAAACATCTGTGTGTAGATGTGACCAGTGGTCATCCTTAATTTATGATGGATGACATTATTCATGAGCAACCAGCAAACATCAACATGTGTGTTTCCTCAGATTCCCAAGACATAATCAACAGAATGTCCAAGTACATCAATGGTGCCAATGGTACTCACCAGATGCCAATAGCTGAAGCCCTCATCATGTGTAAAGGAAGGAGGTAATGCTGACAATTTTTTCTGGGAATATTTTATCTTGGTGTATAGATCCTTGGGTCTTTGGTTAGTTCCGCTTGAATTCCAGCTGGGACTGTTACAGCTTAATATTTTACAACATAAAAAATAAATTTCAGGAAGTTTTGAAAAGTTGATAAAAATTGAATTCATTGTTGAATCTTGCTACTTATTTTGCTTTGAAATATTTTTGTTTGGAATAAATGAGAATGTTTCTCCTTCGTGCTGTCAAGGCCAAGTTTTTTATTGTGATACTCCTGTCATATCATCTCCATAGTGTCATCACTGGACACTCTAAATTTACTTATCTTTATCTGCCTTTTGTTGTTCCAGCTCCGATGAAGTGTCCTCGCAAATGTTCATCCCCTTTCTCAGTGTAGGTCTAATAGATTATTATCATTGTTTTGTTTATTGAGGGGAAAAAAAACAAACTCTTTAGACGAAAAGGGGTTTTAGAGGGTACAGTTAAAATTCAAAACAGATGATCACACCAAAAAAAAAAAAAAAAGTTAATTTTAAACTGTTTGTTGAATTGTTAATAATTTTTGTTTATTGAGGGGAAAAAAAACAAACTCTTTAGACGAAAAGGGGTTTTAGAGGGTACAGTTAAAATTCAAAACAGATAATCACACCAAAAAAAAAAAAAAAAAAGTTAATTTTAAACTGTTTGTTGCATTGTTAATAATTTTCCAATGAATTTATTTTATAAGTCTTGCTGCAACTAATTAACTATCTGTTTACCACTTTCAGGAGGTGAGGATTGGAACCTTAGATACATTCAGCTCATCAGGTAAACTAGGTGCTTCCAATGTCAACACATCTGTAATGTAAATAAACCATTACGGCTTTTTTCAGTTATAACAAAAAAAAATTACATAAAATTAATATACACAAATTACATAAAATTATTGTACACAAATTACATTAAGTTAATGTACACAAATTATGATATTTTTTGTTGGGGGGGGGGGGGAAAGGTGATAAAAATGATTTTGGAATTTCTCTCAGGTCTCGTGAATTTGTGAAATTTTAGTTTTAAAAGTTGTTTTTATTAACATGAGCAATGGTTGAAATAATCTGCAATCAGCTGTGGTCTTGTTGTTTACCTTTAATCAAGTAATATGCTCAGTAGCATTTTTTTTTTTCTTTTATCACTGCAGTTGAGTATGACGATAACCTTCCTCCCATTGGACTGTCCAGCTCCCCACCAGCTTCTACTCCAGTGTTGGACAAAGCAAAAGATGGCCACACACCTCCCAGCTCACCAAACATTGGTGCTGCTGCAGCTATGTCACCACCTACAAGGTTAGTGCCGGCACCATGATGTGCCCACCTATTAGGCTAAGAGTGGACAACATTTTTTTCATGACTCAGAGTCATGTGTCCTCTGAGCTTTAAGTTTGCACACACGTCTTGTAAATTAAAGAAATACACAAAATCTACAAGGCCATAAGACTACCTGTAAGGCTAAGGGTCTTAACTTGGGAGGTGCGGTATGACCCAGAAGTTTTATTTCATGGCAATACTACTTTTTTTTTTTTTAAATCAAGGAAGAGAGTGGGGGTGGGTGTTAATGTTTTGACTTTGAGATGGGGTTTGGTGCTACAAAGAGGTTAAGAACCCCTGCTCGATGCACAAAAACTGTTAATCAAATTGAAATGTTCTTTATTTTGTCAATTTTCAGCACCTCGGGCACAGCCCTGGCTTCTCTGTCTTCCCCTGCCGAATTCATGGACCTGCAGGTTGATTACTGGGTTGTTGCCCCTCCTAAGTCTGACAATTTGGAGAAAGACAAAGACAAGGAGAAAGAAAGAAAAGACAAGAAAGACATGAACAAATGTTCTCTCAAGACAGCCTTCCGAGCCTTGTACGCCAACCGGCTGCCTCATTGTGGAGGGATACAAACGGCAACATTTTCACTCATGGTTGTCACCAAGGAGAAAAAACAAAAAAGTAAGTCACTCCAGTGAGACTCACAATTTGTACGACACATGTTCCCAAACTTGTTTGAGTCACAATGAATGTGCTGCATCCAGGATTTCCCAATGGCGCCCTGTGTCAAATTTTAACACCTGCACTGCGACATAGTGACTTTGCTGCATCCAGGATTTCCCAATGGTGCCCTGTGTCAAATTTTAACACCTGCACTGCGACATAGTGAATTTTTAGTGAATTTTGTTTTTCACTTTGCGGCACCCCTTTGAGGAAGGTTTGGCTCCCCAGGCTGCATTGGCGCACAGTCTGGAAACCTCTGGTGAATGGGATAAGCCGAGTTAAACTAATGATCATCTATAGTTCTCTAATGCAAGACAAAGGCTAAATCAAGTTTCTGTCTAGTACACAAATAAATCTGCAGAGCTCAGACAAATATCAGATCCCTGGTAGTAATAAATAATTTTAAAAAAAACAGCTGCATTCTTCAATACTAATCAACTGCTTAATTAAAGACACAAAACTTTAAGACTCTAAAAGTTGGTGACGCCCTCTTAAAATCATGTCAGGTTTGAAACTTTTGGTACCAAACAATTTTTTGCAAATGCAGTATTTAATATACCTGTTTCTTGCATACTTGGATTTAACTTCATTTAGATTTAATCTTGACCTGATTTATTTTAGATAGAGAAATTTCTTACCTTGTATTTCCCCAGTCATGAGGATTGGAAAAAAAGGCAAGGACCTGGAGTCAAAGAGTCAAGCCATTGAGGGAGTCAGTCGAATGGTGTGTACGTCAAAGAGCCAGAATGTTAAACTTAGAGGTGAGTGGTGTATGGACCACACTTGTAGAGCTAGAATGTTAAACTTAGAGGTGAGCATTGTACGGACCACACTTCAGAGCCAGAACAAAGAGCTACTAAATTAATTCAGATTTCAATCCTGATGTAATCCATTATCTTGGTTTTTTTAATTTATCATGTTTATTTTTCCCCCCCGAATTAAAAGCCATTTCTGATGTTCACCCATTCATCAAATTGAGAAATCTCAAATTACTGCAATGCATACATTTATTCCAGTGAGACATTACAATTGGTATAGTTGGATTGTTTGCTGACATTGAAACCTTAGGCCTACAACCCTCATCAAAAGTTTTATCTTGGCTTTTGTTTCTGTCCTTGCAGTACTTGTAGATGGTGTCGAATGGAGTGGGGTCAAGTTTTTCCAACTGTCCTCCCAGTGGCAGACCCATGTGAAAAACTTTCCTGTTGCAGTCTTTTCTTCTTTGGACTTGTAAATGAATCAAACAGAAGATCCAAAAATGAGAAGGAAACAAAGATTATCTTCTCCTGTTGCCAGAACAACCACTTGTGTTCACAGTACCTAGTTGTCACCTAGCAACCCCAAAATTTCAACAACACCTCTGATGGGCTAACAACAAGTGCTTCCCAACCTTGTGGATCCTTCCAAAGACTTTGACTGTGATACTCTCTGTTGACAGAAGAGTGTCAGCTGACGGGAAGTTGTGCCTCTGTGGAGCTGAGATGATCATTCAGATTTCTTGAGCCATCAAGTTTTTTGAGGAAATGTTCAAGAATGAATAATGGCCATCTTTGATTATGATCTCTGCATAAAAGAAAACCAAAACCAATGTGAATTCTGTGGATGCTAAAGGAAGGAATTTTTTTTGAAAAACATAACAACAAGATAATCTCCTCAGTTCTATTTTTCAAAATCTCTATTGAACATCAATCTGTCAGGTAGTATTTGGATCACAAGTCTACAGTATTACAAATGTGCTGACAGGGGGGGGGGGGTAACTGTGGTTACCTCCCTTAAGAATACTTTAACCTTACCTCCCTTTGTATTATTTACAATGATTTTGTTCAGTGTTTTCTTCATTATCCACATCCTATCTGCTGTGCAATTATTGACAGCAATAAAATCTACAATATCTGGCCGGTAGCAGCAATTTCAACCCCAGCAAAGGCTCATTCATCCAAAGTTGTTTTTTTTTTCAATTTAGTTATGTGAATCCATTTTGCTCTACTTTTTCTTTTTAAAAGAAACAACAGATTTTTCTGGGCTGAATGCTACCAATGGCAATAATCCACTGTTTCAAGGACCTTGATTTTAAAAGCATTTGCCACATGATCAAAGATACCCATTACTTAAAATACATATATATATATATATTTATACAAGGACATGCTAAGGGCAGAAAGAGGAGACTAAACCTGTCCCAGTTGTTATGATTGCTTTGTCTGTGTGCAGTCCCTAGCAGTTTGACTTAAATTGATATTTTTTTTTTTTTTTTTTAAAATCAACATAAATGAAGTTGTAGATTTTGAAGATTCAAGAAAATGGATGTAGTTTTTTTTTCTTCTTCATTTCCAGTCATCTCGATGCTATCAGATAAGCTTTTATATTTTCACATATTTTTGTGTCTGTGCTTTTACATTTCAAACATTTAAAAAAAAAAAAATACTTCTGTTAAAAAAAGTTTATATTTCTGAAGGAGCTAGAACTCCTGTTGTCTTTTAACTGCATTTATTGTTGCCATGTGTTAGCATGGACTTCCATCCAACACCCTGATGTGTGTCCCTTCATTCAGTATCGACTGCTTGTCTCGTGTGTAAGGTACGGCATTGTGAATGAAAGCTATCTGCTCAGGTAGGTCAGTGTAAAGTCCAGTGAGGAGAAGCCCATTTACTTCTGTTTGTCTTTCAAGAGGCAGTCAAAATAATTTCAGTGTTAAATGCAAGCAGTGGTTGTGGAAATATTTTTATGCAGAATTCACCAGCCTAATAGGAATATTTTTAACCTAGGCTTTTTCCATCACATGTTATAATTGTATCTTTTTGTGTCCCTGTTACAAAAATATAATTACCAATACTTAAAGGTGATTCAAGTATTAATCCTGGTTTCTTAAGTAGCACATGTCATTGGGGGGGGGGACCTGATAGTTCAGAAAGACAGGCATATTTTCTGTAGTTATTTTTAGAAATAACCAATCGTTGTGCAATATTGGCCTAAGCATGTTTGCATGTCATCTTGATGTAAATGATAGTGCACTGTTTAAATGTGTGTGTGTATGTGTGTGTAGCAGTGCACTGGTGCATGTGGGGTTAAGTGTGTGTGCAATAAGTTCTAATACTTGGTGTCTATGTGATCAAAGTTTTTACTGGTGAGCTTGTATGCATGTAAGGTGGTGATAGCTACAGATGCATCACATGTGTACACGGGGCACAGGTTTTTTACAGGCATAGCTGTGTACACGTGCACAGGTTTTTTACAGGCATAGCTGATGTGTACATGGGGCACAGGTTTTTTTACATAGCTGATGCGAATGTCATGTATCTCACAAGTTGGTCTGTGATTGTAAGCATGTAGTTAAACGACTGAATATCTTAAACAAATGTGATTTATAGATGCTTTTATTAGTCCAAAATTGTAAATATTAATTTATGTGCAATGTCATTTTATATATATTTCTATTTATGTACTGTGCTCATTTGTGTACACAATCATGCTGTAGATTTGTACACAATAAATGCTGTATAGAGACTCAGGTCAGCGCAACAAGTAGGTTGTATTACACTGATGTCACATTTAATTCAAGTCTTCATCTAAATTTGCAGACATCTGACAATTCATTGGCTTCACTTCTTTGTTTTGTCTATTACAACTTAATTGTGCTTTTATTCCAAGTTATATGTTATCTGTACCATAAATATAAAACTTGGCCAGTGTTCAGTGTTTCCTTATTGATAAATGTGCATCATGTTTCCATACGGATACACATGCATTTCTCTCCACTATCTTTGGAGTACATTTCTAAGTGGCTAAATTAATGATATTTACCAGTTGTGCATGTGTAAAGTTGTATGTCTACTTCTTTATATTCATTTTTTTTTTCCATTTCTCAATACCACTTTTAACAATGCCAACTTTTTTTTTTACCCTATAAGTAATGTCAACCTGCACTATTGTGTGAATCTTTTCTTATCAGCAAACTTTGTGTGTTAATGAGAGCGGTGGTTTGCTGAGAGTCAAGAGACGCAAGGATCGAATTCTTTATAGGTTCTTTGTGCTTGTGTTCTGTCAAAAGCAATTTTTTTAGATTTCTGAAAATTTTAACTTAGTCAAAAGTCATTTTGTTAAAAAAAATATTTGCATGTGACATTGAGCTGACGAGCTTATACCGAAACCTTCTTCCTGAGGTCTGTGCGTTACACCAGGCCGCTAGTCATTGGCATGTGTAGGTTAACAAGTTTCTCAATCTATACTTTACAAGCCACTCTCAGGCGAGTCAACATGAACCACCTGCTTCGCTTGACTGTCATAATTCTAACATAACAATATGCTTATACAAATTTTGAGATATTTTCATTATTTAGCTTTCAACAGAAAATGATAATTTTATAAATTGTATTTGACCTAGTACCACATTGTCTGTGTAGTGTATTTGACCTAGTACCACATTGTCTCCCTATTGTATCTGACCCAGTATCAAATTATCTGTCTATTGTAGCTGACCTAGCTCCACATTGTCTGTATTGTAGCTGACCCGGTACCACATTATGGCGGCCAAAGCCAAGACCATTTTCTAGTCTGGCGGAACAAAACATCTGAACTTTAATAAATGACTAAAATATTTGTTTACTATGTTTTAATTCAGTGAAATGCTTGTTGTAAACAAGAATCTTTGCTTTGTTTGTCTGTTACCACAGCTTATCTTTAAGTTGCCTGCCACCTGCTCACACATCACCCGTTTCTTGACGGCAGTTTCCATTGACTTGTGCTACAATATGAAACAAGTCATTTGTGTTGAACATTTAAACTATTGTTCAGGAAATAGTAGAACTAGGTGATGTGGAAGCTTGAATGGGACAGGAAAGTCAAAGAAGAAGGTTCCTCTCTTCTTGTCCCGTCTTTCTATTCAAGCCCCCACATCACAGCCCTTCATTTATTAATTCCTCATTGTTCAAAAGCTTTGGTTTATTGGGGCCCCACTGAAGTTCATGGCGGCCCAGCTTTACCTGATGGAGGCCTAGCTTAAGCTGATGGAAACCTAGCTTTAGCTGATGGAGGCTTAGCATTGGTTGATGGGGGGCCCAGCTTTACCTGATGGAGGCCTAGCTTTGGTTGATGGAGGCCCAGCTGTGGTTCAGCGAGGCCCAGCCTAGATGATGAAGGCCTAACTTTAGCTGATGGAGGCCTAACTTTGGTTGATGGGGGTCTAGCTTTAGCTGATGGGGGTCCAGCTATGGAGAATGGCAGAACACCTTTGTTCGATGATGGAGCAGCTGCGATTTGGGGTTTAGTCCTTATAATAGATTTAATTTACTTCATGCATTTGGCCTTTGCTGCATTTCTTATATTTTGTTGTATAATAAACAAAGTCTTGTTTTTTTTAAACGACAACATAAAAAATTTCTCTGGAATTGTTAAAACAGATAATTAATTTTCATGAAAAAATAATGTCCCAGTGATTTTACATGTAAATTTGGGTTTACTTCTGATATGGCCTGCCCCATCACTGAGTTGTGTTCATCAATTTTGTACCTTACAAAAACTTTACCTTCTGTATGAATTGACCTGACATGCAAGACTATGCTATCATAATTGGTCCAATGAACATTCTGTGTTCATATAAGTAGAACAAACCACCACATCATGTTCTACCAGTTCATGTGGAGACTTTACATGGACTAAAGGAGGGTGCATTCATGCCTGGCAAACGAGTGTCACCAATGTGTGTCATATACATTGCTGTGTCTGTCACGAGCACTGTGTCTGTCACAAGCACTGTGTCTGTCACAAGCACTGTGTCTGTCACAAGCACTGTGTCTGTCACAAGCACTGTCTCTCACGAGCACTGTCTGTCATGAGCACTGTGTCTGTCACCAGCACTGTGTCTGTCACAAGCAATGTGTCTATCACAAGCACTGTCTGTCATGAGCACTGTCTGTCACAAGCACTGTGTCTGTCACAGGCACTGTGTCTGTCACCAGCACTGTGTCTGTCACCAGCACTGTGTCTGTCACCAGCACTGTGTCTGTCACCAGCACTGTGTCACACTGAGATGAAATCAGATTCAGGCTGTTTTTTTAGGACTGTTTAAGAAAGTCTCAATTATTTAGTTGATGTTTTACATCCTTGTCACAGCTAGGAAACTGATTCTGACATCATCTGTGTGTGTTTCCAATCCAAACACACTTTGTTTGTATTGCTAAACTTAAGATGTCATTTCATGCTTATCTAACTAAAGATGTGCTTTTCTAATTTTTCAAATAATGAATTTCTTAGTTTTCATTAGTTTCATTAGTTGCCTCTCTAACAGAGATGTAGCTAGAGTGTTTGGGGCCTAGGGACAAGTTTAAGCCCCCCCTTTTTACCCCCACCTTCCAACCCCTCAACTCTGAAACCTATGATCTTCATCAATAAAATAACATCAAAACCCACATTGTCTCACACCCCCCCCCCAACCACCACAAGACTGGTGCCTGAAGACGTCTGCCCCCCCTCAGCTGTGCCTCTGCTATCCATGAGTATCATTAGATGCTTACTTAAAGGGGTCATTTGAGACTTATCTAAGGGGATCATTTGATGCTTATTTAACGGGGTCATTTGATGCTTACTTAAGGGGGTCATTTGATGCTTATCTAAGGGAGTCATGTGATGCTTATCTAAGGGGGTCATGTGATGCTTTTCTAAGGGGGTCATGTGATGCTTATCTAGGGGGTCATGTTGATGCTTATCTAAGGGGGGGTTATTTGATGCTTATCCAGCTAGACATGCAAATAACCAACTCATATGTATTTTCTTAGGATTCCTGCTAAAATTTTATCTGTGATTTCAAAGAACTGAATCTCCATAACATAACTATAGTTGTTTTTTTTTTTAAATCCGATTACTCTCATAATAATCCAAGCTAATCAAATGAGGATTTTTTAAAAAAAATATTTTTTTTACATTTCTTTTGTAACAACCCAAAAAATTAAATGTGAAAATTGAAATTTATGAAATGGTGCTAAGAAACTAAACCATTACGTCAGCAATTTCTCTGTTGATTCTGCGAGAACATTTTTTATGTGGCCGTACAACACCATGTAGCAGTACTATAAAAATATTGGTCATCCTTAACCATCATTAAAAACTGTATCTTCCCCAAGGGCTGCATCAAATCATTGAGTTCCATAATGAGGCATTCTTGTAGACAAGTTTTTTTTTTTAAATTGGACTTTTTTTTTCTTCATTTTTTTTAGTGTAATTTATTTTATCCTTGCAGTTTTCTTGTATATTTTGATATCAGATTATTTGGTTTTTTCTTAAGATTGAGATTTTTGTTTGGTTTGGTGAAACTCGTGAAATTTTTATAATAGCGTATTTTCTTCAAGAGACCATCAATTGAGAACTCTAATTTTCATGTGCTCTGTAGAAATGTGACCGGGTTTATACCTGGCATTTTTCGGTGTGAACCTGACATCATATATTCATTTTGTCATTGTGCGTCTGAATCCTTGCCATTAGATGAGGTTGTTTATTTCACATCTCAAATACTCATTCAATTTGATGTGTAATGTTGGTTTATTTCACATCACAAGCACTCTGAGGAAATAAGATTAAAAAATGGAAAAGTCTAAGAATTATGGGAAGGGAAGTAGGTTACTCAGAAGTGACAATTGTCAAGATGTAAATACAAAAATGGCAGAAATTAAAAATCACAAGAAATAATTTGAAACAGTTTCCAGAAACTCAAGACCAAACATTATTTTGAGTCAAACACGCCATTGCCTATCATTTGTTTAATCCAAAATCTGAGTTGATGCATCCTCATGGGAAACACTTGAGTGCAAAGGATTCAATATTCAAATGAAGCAATAGACAGCCCATTATAACACTTTTAGCTGAATTGATTGACAGGCCATTATAACACTTTTGGCGTAAGTGATTGATAGCCTATTATAACACTTTTGGCTTAAGTGATTGACAGCCTTTTATAACACTTTAAGCTTAAGCTTAAATAAGACTCACTGGTGTTATGGGATTAATCATTTTTTTAAAAAATAAAAATGATGATTATGATGGTGAAATTCAAAACATCCCCCAAGCCCCTTCCTCCCCAGAGGTTCTCAAATGATTTTACTGCAGTGTTTTTCTTTGAGTTAATTTTGGGTGCTTTTCATGTCAGTCTTCTCTACCATCATTCAGCTTAAGGTGGGTTTATCTTAATGTTGACTTAATTGTTCTTTACAATGTTCAACATTGTCTTTATTTAATCTGAATGTGTAGTTAAACAACGCTGAGAGGTTAGGAATAAACTATTTATTAAGCTGTTATTAAATATAAATGTAAACTTAAGTCTGGAATTAGTTTACATAATGTGAGTTACCATAAGAAGAATAAATAATTTGCACCTAATAACAACAAAAATCATCTGTTCATATGATCGGTGAACTTCAGGGCTGTTGAAAATTTTAGAATTTACTGCTGTCAAAAATAAAACTTCAAATGTGGTCAGAATAATTTGGAAGTTGCTCAATTGATATCACTGATAGCGTGTGGAGCCATAGTACCGGTCATTGGAAACAGACATTATGATAATAGAATAATTATAAAGAATTCCTGTTGTTTTTCAATTTCGGTATGTTTAATGTATAGGAGTTGTAAGTTCAGAGTTAGGAAGTGGATGACATGCTGGACAAGGGAGATCTATAGGCTGGGCATGTTTGACATGTACAAGGGAGATCTGTAGGCTGGGCATGTTTGACATGTACAAGGGAGATATGTAGGCTGGGCATGTTTGACATGTACAAGGGAGATCTATAGGCTGGGCATGTTAAACATGTACAAGGGAGATATGTAGGCTGGGCATGTTGGACAAGTACAAGGGAAATCTAATGGCTTACACTTACATGTAGGACTTTGCACAGCTCTTAACTTGTTTAATCCTGGCTTCCAAGTATCAAAACTAACTCTGTCCATATCCAGATATAAGTTCATCACATTTTTTTACCCTTTTCTTGTAATGGCACTGGCACGGTGGTGTAATTTTTTTATTAAGCCAAAGATTAATTTTTGTAAAATAGTAATGTCTTCCATCTAGCCACACCCATCTGTAGATGAGAAAACAACAACATAAAGATTGGTTGCTTGACTTGTTATTGGCACAAACCATCTATAGATAAAACTGTTCTGATTGGTTGCTTCACTTGTTCTGGGAGCTGGCTCTTGTCCTGTCAACCGTGACCGAGATTTACTTACAAAAATGTCTTGTAGTCCATTGGAGATGTCATGTGTGATTTGTAGGTGATGAAACTCTTGAAGTTGAACTCCCATCTCATCACAATACTGGTTTAGGGGAATCTCAGTTGAAGTTTGGGTGTCCACATTTTAACAGTTATATACACTTACAGGGGGGGGGGGGGGGGGGGGTCTAATGTGTTAACTCAACGTCTCTCTTTTCATGCATTACAATTACAGCTTGTTTTGTCACAACTGGAAGCCACTTTTACTTGGAAACGTAGTCTACCATAACCTATTTTTGAATATTTTATGCTAACAAATGTCACTGATTTGTATTTTGGTGAAGCCTAAATATTATGCTTAATAAACCTGACAGTGACATGATTGGGGGTGGTTTCGATTTAGTGATCCCATGTCACTGACATGATTGTGAAAGGGTAGTTGCAAGGATCCCTTATCATTGACATGATGGTGCTTCTAAGTCCTGATATTCTCATGGTAAGTATTTTATGAACACTGAATTATAATGAATTGTTGAATTATAATGAATTCTCTGTCAGAAACTTCTCCTAGACCAGGGGTGGGCAAACTATGGCCCGCAGGCCACATGCAGCCCGGCAACTGATGTTATGTGGCCCCCAAGGGCATTGTGAAATTTAAAAAAAATTACTTTGTTAATAAGTTAACGTGTTGAATTTTACAGAATGAATTTCATGTACGGCCATGATTGTTTTAACATTTTTTATAAAATTTCTTTCCATTTTCTATTTTTGTAAACAGTCCTTGACCTTCGTAATGTATTACTAATATGGCTAAATATATATGAAGCCCTCCAATAGGTTTTCATTTGTCAGTGTGGCCCTAGACACACAAAGTATGCTCATCCCTGGCCTAGACCATCAAATAATTTTTATGCTGTTTATTACGATTTGAACTTATGAGACTGATTAAGTTTGAAATTTGACCAAATAAGTAAAAGTAGTTTTTAACTTTCAACAGCCGTAAGAAAACAAAAACACCAGTCGAAATTTCAAAAGTACGTCTCCTTACTTTGGCAAATTTTAAAGTTAATTATTATTGTCTTATGAGACAATATACTTTCAAGTATATTGTTTCATTTGTGTTCCACACAGACTTTTAAATGATCCAACATGATGTTTTTTTTCCTAAGAATTATTAGGGAGTAACCAAAACTATTTTTTAAAAATTTATTTTGAGAAATAATGTATAGATCCAGAAAAGTCTGATAAGGCTTAAAATTTGTTTAATCAATTTAAATTTGGAACTCTCCCCCTCACCCTGGATATCCGGGAACATTCATTTTCATTTCATCAACAATACAGTGTCGCACTAGGTTGTGTTTAGATATTTAGTTGAGTTATATGTGGTCTTTAGATCACATAGTCTTATTTTTTGTGTTGATTAGTTTGATCTGTAGGCTGGGTCCAAGATTTATATATTGTATTAGCTCCAGCCTTGTTGCCAGTTATTTATATCAATTATGAAGCTCACCATTCACAATTTAATGATTATTATATGCCTAGCTTTATTCATTAAAGTTTTAATATTGTTAATACTGTTTTGTTAAAATTTTCTAAAATATTTGTTCTAATACCAGGTATATATGAAAGGGGTTAGGTATAGTTGTAAAGTACTATGATTTTTCTATATTGCATTTGCTGTCAGTGTATTTTGATGTCATCATTTGCCTACTGATGTGTCTGCCGTCATGTCTCTTACAGTTATGTCAGTAATTCCATGTGATTTGTTTCAATGTTAGCGTTCAATGTTTGAGGATTAAAACAAAATCCAAATGTGTCAGTTTGGTGGCTGTTACAAGTTGCAGGACATGAAATCCACTTTTGTCAAGCTTACCAACTTTCTTGCCCAAAAAATTAAATTAATAAAAACAAAAATTTGTAAAATTCTTACTTGTTTTATTCAATGTTTATTCAAAATTAAAACAAATTTGCAAATTGAAATCAAAAGGGGGGGGATGTAAAACTGAGCTAAAATCTTTGACAAAATCTTAACATACCATTACATAGATAGAACTAACTGAACACTGAAAATACCTGTACACTGATGGATTAAACTTTAACAGTAAATTGGATATTTATGAATAGTTCCTACTTTTAGAAAAAAAATATTCATGATCTGATTTTAGTGAACTGAATAATTTAATTTCTTTTATTTAAATTTGATAAGAGTAAATGACATAAAGAAAGTGAAAAGAATGTGGGTAAACATCTGTGTTGGAAACGCTCACATTTTCAGCTGTTGAAAGGGGCAAACATTGAACCCAAGTTTGCTGACAAAAATTCTGAAATTGGTTTTAAAAAAATTGATAAATTATTTAAATATTTCATAACATTATGATGAGGGAAAAAAATGGTTTAAGTTGTAGGTTAAATGTTTATACAAATGTCGGGGTAATAGACCGTCAAGGCAGCACAGTTATTTCACTGTGATCTTGACAGCATTTTTATCAGAGATTGTGTAATTGTCCCAACTTTTCTCCGGGTCGTAAGGCTCCCAGCGGCTAGCAGGGAATATGTGCTTGTTTCTCTCATACCAGCTCCTCAAACAGACCTTCCCAGCATGAGACTCACTCTTCTCGACCTTGTCGTAGTTCACAATTCGAATCTCATCGTTACCGTCAAAATTGAAACAAGGCCCACTTTTGCCCCTGGCCTTGGTCACGATGAAATCGTAGAATGAGTAATGATGGGGGATGATGAGATCTTCCTTGACATACATCAGCTGGTCTACAGAGACAGGAACAAGGTCGTTGAACTCTTTACGTAGACTCTCCAGACACTTCTGAAGGAATTGCTGCACTGTGTTGCCCTTTTTCATCTTGGCCTGAGAATAAACATTGATTTTAAGTAGTAGATATCAAAATGTCATATTTAACTTAAGTAGTATAAAACAAAAAAATCATACATACTTAAGAAGTATAGCACAAAAATTCATACATACTCAAGTAGTTTAACAAAAAGAGTCATACACATCTTAAGTTGTATAAAATTAAAAAGCATCATTCATATGATTCCTTAACTGTAGAAAAAAATTAATAGCTAATTTTCAGGAAGTAGTTTAGAGAGGTCACCCCTGTGTCGATGTATCTAAAACTTATTTGCCTTTGTAATTGTAAGCTGAGGTGAAGTGTTGGGACAAAATACACATTTAGTCTTTCAACTTCAAACCAAGCCTATAAAAATTCACTGAAACTTATATTATTTATTAGTTCACTAACAAAGGACCTGAACAATCCATTGTTTGGAAGTAGCTGCATCCTAGCATACCTGTCTCCTGTGCCCAGAACCATCCCAGTAGCTGTATGTGATGTTAATCTCCTCATTCTTGATTCTCTCTTGAGTGGCCACCCACTCCTGTCGTAGGAGCTCTCTGGAGGAAAAGCATAACTAATATTTTGAGGCTAATTTCTCTCAAGTTTAATCATTTATCAACCAACTAGATCTTTCAAAATTACATTCGCGAACCAATTTAAATATTTTTCAATAAAAACACAAATATTCTTTACATGATCAAGGAGCTGGCAAGTTTAGCTACAATGATAACAGAACTGGCCCATTTGTGACCAACACACATCTATTTCTGAACATCGTCAATTATTATTTTCTTCACAATCCCCATCATAATTTATCCTTCTACAGATTTCACCAGGTTTCAATTGCATCAATGTTAACCCTTACCTCAGTTTATTTTCTTCTTCATCTCTGTCTCTGTCTGGTAAGAAACTTGTGTCAACCGCTGGGTTCATACCTGTCATGACATTGTACAAAAGGCGCTCAAAACATACATTTTAAAATTGTATACATTTCCTGCAAAGTGGTAGACTTGATTTGATTTTTTTCATTTCAGCATAAAAAAAAGTTCAGATGCTGGCGAACATGGACATTGGTGAGAGAAAGGTTAAGAAACTGTTAAATAGAAGAGTTTTTAATATTCAAACTTTGTTGACCTTGCTGTGTTGTTTTATATGAATAGGATTTAAGTTTCCTTGACTCAGGCCGTCATGTCAAACACTATTTCAAATAAAAACCCTAAACCATGGCTACACAAATTACAAGTTCAACAATCTTTCACATGTATCACAGGGATTTTACCTAGTCTCTTTTTACGTTTTCTTTCTTTACGTTCCTCAAGAGTTTCTATGTCATATGAGTCATCATTCTCGTCTATTTGACTCTCTTGTGCGCTTGTTGATCCTTGCTCTGATATGTCTTTAGATTTGCTTTCTTCCTTTTCATCTTCATCCCCCTCATCGTCTTCAGCAGCCTCTTTGTCTTCATCATCCTCTTCATCATGCTCCAGGTCAAATGAAAGCATTGTGATCTTTGCAGAAAAGTTAAGTTTAAAATGAGATGAAATTTAAAAAAAATTATTATTTAAGTAGTGCACACTCAATTCCTGTTTCTTGTGAGGTTAATAATAACTTTAAGGCCAGAGAAAATCTAAATTTGAATATGAGCTGAAAAATTGGGAGATGCCAAATTTGAATTGCCATCCTTAAGGCAACAAGTCTAATAATTCATGCTTCTATCTGCTAGAATTATATTGCTGGAAAATGATTCAATTTGGAGTTTGTGACCATGTAAAACATTATCTCTCAAAATTGTCTTCTAAATTTTAAATTTTCTAAAAGTTGTCTATTCTTAGCTAGTTTTTATTAAGAATAATTTATACCTGAAAATAAATTATATCACATAAAATAGAGATTTGCTTGGATCTTAAAAATAATTTCACTTGGTTGAGTATTAATCTTAAAATAGTCCAGGCTTAACTTAGCCTAATAGCAGAATACAAAACTGAACAGCATTCAAATACTTTTCTCTGATCTTTTTTTTTCTTGTCTGCTTTAGCCTTCTCTATCAACCGAGCTTCTGCATTTTTCTTAGCCAACTGTCGCTCTCTCTCTTTGATGACATTTTCCTGGCGTGCTTTCATTTCTGTCAGGGTAACCAAACCTAAAAAAGGAGATATAGTATAAAGCATTACAATTTGTGCTAAATTAATATTAGTATGTTTATTGAGAACCATTGTATTTACAAGATTTTCTTTAAAATAAGATGAGGTAAATGTTAAAGGAGCTAAATCTATGCTGCAATAAACTAAAAATTTAGGTGCACTGAATTATACTGGGAGAAATTTTAAGAAATGGAACGATTAAAAAAAAGGGACTAACCTATAGTACTAGACTTTAGCGATTGTTCAATAGCATCATAATGGGTTGCAAACTTGTTGTGAATATTTCCAATAGCAAGTTCTTCTTCAATTTTCTTTTTTTTTGCTTCTGCTTCTTCCTGTTCTTTGGCTCTTTTTTTAAGGAGAGTAGCAGCTCTCCCAGCTTCTTTGGCAGCACCTTTGTATAAGGCCATGATTGTTTCGGTGGTTCTAAAAGAAAACAATAAGATGATGCATAATAAGTGTATTTGTTAATTATATTTCAAATATATGCTCGTCTAAATGCAGAGCATAATTATTATGTGGCCAACGAGTTGGAAGATAGATTTCAATATTCATAAGTTTGATCTATTCAAAGCGGCCAATGAGTATACAATTTATTTAAAATTCAAATTTCTTTAACAATTTTTAAAAGCATACAATCAAAAGAGAGATTTTATAGCTAACTTACTAAACTGACTTATTAAGTCTAAAGTTGATGTTTCAAAGATTATACAAAAAATAATGTATTTCTAACAAGTTAAGGTGATCCTAGAATTAAAATTTAAAAAAGCGCAAGTCACAAGAGCAGGTTTAGTGACTTAGTGTTATGGACTACTTATAACTATTAATATTATAAGTACTTTTTAACATTTTATTGTGACTAAGTCAAAGTAATAAGTATATATAAGTTAGTAAGAAAAATAGTCTAATAATTGTCTTACACTAACTTACTCAACATGACAATTGAAAAAATCGCAATAGATAATGATACGCAATTAAATTAACTTTGAGTTTGAAAGGACTTGCATATGATGATACTGGTAGTTGTTTACAGTTTACTTGTCTCATTCAATAAAATTAAAATAATGATCATTTAAAACTAACTGTATGTAATTGCTAATTTGTGTTGGAGTTTTTAGTATCAACTTCTGAAGTCTAAACTAAATGACCAAAATTAAATTGTCAAAATAGCATGTCTCTATCACTATCAACTCTGTGATTATTATCACTATGACTCTATGAAATTAATCTAGTGACTCAACTATATGACTATGAATTTTTATACTATAACTATGAGTATGATATTATTGATATGATCATGATTGATACATGATTATGATACTCATGACATAGTAAAGTATAGTCATAGAATGATAGACTGAAACTGAATAATATTATTAATAGACTATCGTTCGAGTACCATACTGGACATATTGGCCATAGACTAGTATAGACATAGTAGACTGAATCATAGAATCATAGTCCATAGACTATAGACTATAGAATCATTGAGTAGAGTATTATCATAGACATTTCATTATCATTACATTTACTATTTACCATCCACCAAGGCTGCAGTAGCCAAGGAGTCACTATCAATAGATAGTGCATCTTACTAATAACCTCACTCACTCTGTCTCTTGAATATATTCAGTTTCAGTCACTAACTAAACAAACTAAAAGTAAAAGTCTTAACTTTTAACTTACTAATATAACATCAATATAAGTAATACAACACATTTATAAAGTCAAAGTCATTGAAAGGTGGGCTTACCGAAAGGTGCTACGTTAAGAAAAGAATAAAATATAGCTAACGCAAATAAGAAATAGAAAATTTAAAACAAATTTAGCAGAATTGTATGTAATTTTTGTCAACAATTTTTATCAATATTAGAGTTACAACCCTTATTTTAAGGGGCTTTAAGCATAATAAATCCTGAAATGAAAAGTGAGTAGTCTTACTTGATCCATAGAAACAAAATGGCGTTAGTAACGCGTCAGTACGGTTTCGATATTCCAAATAATGATATAACAAAAAATCTACCATCTCTACAATTTGAAAGCGCCCTTGATGAAAATGAAAAAGAACTTATGTATCTACGAATAAGAAGTCATGCTATATTAGTCACACAATGTGCATTAGCTACTGTCTTAACGGATATTTTTTACAAAGCAAATGGGTGAGACTCGAGACTTTAAACTGTAGAAATTTTTTAGACTAGATTATACTAATTATAGATTTACTTCATTTATTTCATGTTTAGAGTTTAGATTTACTTTAGGCTTTAATTAACTTTGACTACTTTTTACCTGTACGCTTTACTCGTACGCTTTACTCGTACGCTTTACTCGTGAGGACTCTTGTCTTTAGTTATACTTTAAGGTTTTTACTTTAGCTTAGCCAATTTGAGTTAACGGTAACGTCTAAAAAACAGCTTTTTAAAAAATTATTTTCAAATTATCTGTGATGAATCATAGTCTAAGGCCTAAGCCTAAGTCAAGTTTTAGTATGTAATAAGTTATTAAAAATTGGCCGGGTCTACACGTCCGGCGCGCCGGACGTATATCTCCCGGCGACTAAGTCACATGACAGCCGGAAGAATACTTAATCGAGATATTGGTCCGGTGACCAAGTCACATGACCGACGTAACAAAGTGGCTCGAGATATTTGTCCATCAGCCTTGTCACGTGACCGCGAATGATTCAAAACTATTGTTAATTTTAAAATCTATTTCTCTACCAAGTTAGGCATACCGATACCCGCTTGCGCATTCGTTCTGCGCATATGGAAAAAAAACGCAAAAATTGAAGTGGCCATCTTACAATCGCTTTTACGGTGACCTCGGATTTATGCGTTTTACGTCACAGTTTCCTATTTGTACATTTGTTTTGTCATCGATGACGTTTAATATTTGTCTTCCGGTGACGCACATGTTTTTAGAGCGACTGGATTGAGCTCTGTTCTTTTTTTGTGACACTTTGACCG